GATTACAGCACAGACACAAAACCGTTCTTTATCCTGTTGAAACAACCCAGATGGCCACCAACACTGTTAGACATTGATGTGTTGTTGAAAATAAAGTAATAATGGAGGCACGTCGTTGTTTTCTTCAGAGGCAACTGTGTGGACGCGTTAACATTCAGAGAAGGTGTCTTTGTTTTGTAAGGGAGCACACACTCAGTTCCCTGTGTTCAACCCTTTTCTACAGCCCCTGAGTTGATGAACTTACTTGCTTTGCTTATCAGCTCTGTAAATGGAGACAGGAGTCTCATCTTTACAACAGATGCTGTGAGGTCAGAAGGTCACAGAAGGTCACGTCAGGATATGATGAGAAGAGGAAGAGGTTTCCCATGATGTCTTGAGGAGATGCTGCAGGAGGAGGAAGATTCATCACACACTGATGGAGATCAGTGATGCCTGGAGGAGCAAATGGATTACAGAGAAGCAGCTGAGGGGTTTTCCTCAGAAAACATTAAATTATTCACACTGGTGTGTGTACAGGATGTGGAAGAAGCATCTTGAATTGTCTCCGCGTTTCTAATAAAAAAAAAATAAAACAAAAAAAGAGATCTACACTGTGAAGGCTTGAAGTTGCTGATGTCTTGTAGTTCTCACCTTGCTAGTGACGTACAGGTGTACTCCAGCACCCTGTGATGTCACTGCTGGGTGTGGTCACAGTTGCAGTTCATTTACACATACTAGACCACACTGCTATGATACAAAGCTGGCTAAAAATCATCAAAGTGCCCCTTTAGATAAACATCTGCACAAAAAAACAAACAAAAGCAAAACAGTTCCTGATTCAATGCTACATGGAAATGTCAACATTTAAAATCAGAAAAAGCAACACAGTGACATCATCTTAATTACACTTTGTGTTTTTCCCACCTCGACAACAAAAAGCACCAAGATCAGGTATTACGCATTTTCATTTCTTTTGACTTCCAGTTTCAAAAATCCAAATAACAAAACCAGAACTTTTTTTATACTTCAGGCCACATCACAGGTTGGACTATCTGCTTTTCATCAGTGGAACAAATGATGAAAAAAATCTTTCATGAGCTGTTTTTAATAAAGCTTACATGGAATATGTTTCATTAGGGCTGAGTGTCATTAAAGGTTTCTACCAATACTGTTCAATTTATTTAAAGAACAATTCTCTGACTCGTTACTGTGCATCTGTCTCTTCTGGAAAAGCATTATTTTGTTTACATACAGTACAGGCCAAAAGTTTGGACACACCTTCTCATTCAATGCGTTTTCTTTATTTTCATGACTATTTACATTGTAGATTCTCACTGAAGGCATCAAAACTATGAATGAACACATGTGGAGTTATGTACTTAACAAAAAAAGGTGAAATAACTGAAAACATGTTTTATATTCTACTTTCTTCAAAATAGCCACCCTTTGCTCTGATTACTGCTTTGCACACTCTTGGCATTCTCTCCATGAGCTTCAAGAGGTAGTCACCTGAAATGGTTTTCCAACAGTCTTGAAGGAGTTCCCAGAGGTGTTTAGCACTTGTTGGCCCCTTTGCCTTCACTCTGTGGTCCAGCTCACCCCAAACCATCTCGATTGGGTTCAGGTCCGGTGACTGTGGAGGCCAGGTCATCTGCTGCAGCATTCCATCACTCTCCTTCTTGGTCAAATAGCCCTTACACAGCCTGGAGGTGTGTTTGGGGTCATTGTCCTGTTGAAAAATAAATGATCGTCCAACTAAACGCAAACCGGATGGGATGGCATGTCGCTGCAGGATGCTGTGGTAGCCATGCTGGTTCAGTGTGCCTTCAATTTTGAATAAATCCCCAACAGTGTCACCAGCAAAACACCCCCACACCATCACACCTCCTCCTCCATGCTTCACAGTGGGAACCAGGCATGTGGAATCCATCCGTTCACCTTTTCTGCGTCTCACAAAGACACGGCGGTTGGAACCAAAGATCTCAAATTTGGACTCATCAGACCAAAGCACAGATTTCCACTGGTCTAATGTCCATTCCTTGTGTTTCTTGGCCCAAACAAATCTCTTCTGCTTGTTGCCTCTCCTTAGCAGTGGTTTCCTAGCAGCTATTTGACCATGAAGGCCTGATTGGCGCAGTCTCCTCTTAACAGTTGTTCTAGAGATGGGTCTGCTGCTAGAACTCTGTGTGGCATTCATCTGGTCTCTGATCTGAGCTGCTGTTAACTTGCCATTTCTGAGGCTGGTGACTCGGATGAACTTATCCTCAGAAGCAGAGGTGACTCTTGGTCTTCCTTTCCTGGGTCGGTCCTCATGTGTGCCAGTTTCGTTGTAGCGCTTGATGGTTTTTGCGACTCCACTTGGGGACACATTTAAAGTTTTTGCAATTTTCCGGACTGACTGACCTTCATTTCTTAAAGTAATGATGGCCACTGGTTTTTCTTTAGTTAGCTGATTGGTTCTTGCCATAATATGAATTTTAACAGTTGTCCAATAGGGCTGTCGGCTGTGTATTAACCTGACTTCTGCACAACACAACTGATGGTCCCAACCCCATTGATAAAGCAAGAAATTCCACTAATTAACCCTGATAAGGCACACCTGTGAAGTGGAAACCATTTCAGGTGACTACCTCTTGAAGCTCATGGAGAGAATGCCAAGAGTGTGCAAAGCAGTAATCAGAGCAAAGGGTAGCTATTTTGAAGAAACTAGAATATAAAACATGTTTTCAGTTATTTCACCTTTTTTTGTTAAGTACATAACTCCACATGTGTTCATTCATAGTTCTGATGCCTTCAGTGAGAATCTACAATGTAAATAGTCATGAAAATAAAGAAAACACATTGAATGAGAAGGTGTGTCCAAACTTTTGGCCTGTACTGTATATTTGATATCTAAGTGTGTGTTTACAGGCTTTTTAAGAAAGGCACCAGAAACTTGTGACCTATCAGGAATGACTAACAAGGAACTACTGTTTTATGACACCCAGCCCGATTTCAGGTTAAAATCATAAATAAGAAGAAACCTTACAGGTCATCAACATCCCAGTCAAATAAACACTCCCAGTAGAGAACATGAAATGGTCCTCTTCATGAAAAGGCTCCATGTTTCATCATGGCGTGATAAAACAGATTCACTGTCATCAGACTTTTCTTTACAAGCATCCCAATTTTACTTATGGAGATACAAAGATTTGAATGTGTGGAGGAATAATACAAAACAAAAGAGGATGGGCCAGTCTGTGGATGTAAGAGGTGAGAGCTGCTGCCGACCACATGCAGGAAAACTGACTGACAGGTACTCGCTTGAAAAATCAATGTGCAACAATTTCGATAATTTTTCAAGTAGTAATGAAAAAAAGTGTGGTTTCTAGTCTCTCAAATGTTAAGATTTACCTTTTTTTTCTTATGTGATAGTAACCTGACAATCTTGTGTTTTGAACCGTTGGTCATATATCAACTTAAGTTTTAGGAAATTGTCATAATACATCACAAACTATATGATCAATTGTTAAATCAAAAGATACAAGGATGCAGTATTTGATTGTGTTTATGTTTCATTCACTGCATCTGTGTCTGCAGCAGCAGTTCTGCAGTCGTAGTGGTGAAATTTAGGTTTTTGAAGGTAAACTATGCAGGACTGTTCACAAACAGCACAGCCAGCAAAAGTGACATTAAAGCTAACTCCAGATTCACTCTCGCTGGCTATATTTTTATGTTTTCTGGCGCTGTGTCTTTCTGGCACCTGGTCGCTAACCTTTCTATAGTGCCCAGGAAAGTCCCGAACACCACCACACACTTGTAGTGGGTCACAAGTGATGGCTGAGGGGGATTACTTCTGTTTTTGTCTGCAATCTTAATCCTGCATCGTACACCTTTAGGGTTTAAATTAAGAGCAGAAAAACAAATTACAAATGAAGACATGTAGAGAGGCTGTGAGACACTCAGGACACTTTAAGGCAGTGATTCCCAACTAGTGGGTCACGGATCCATTCTGAATGGACCAAAAGTGACTTGAGAACGTGTCAAGTTTGTAAAAAAACACACTTCAATTTGAATTAAAGTGAATTTCTGGCACAGAGCATTTATTTTGAAGTGCTGTTTCCTGCTGTAAAGTGAGTGACTAACAGACAGCTACTTGACAGAGACAGCAAACAAGCTTGACAGCATGGCCTAACGCAAGTATGATGCTATGGTATATTAAACTGCGTGGACCTTGAACTAATGAGTGAGGAGAAATGTGGACCCCGTGGCTGGATTAGTTGGGAACCACTGCTTTAAAGCCACACTTCCAGGCAGACAGGCAGTCTGAAAGCTTCTCTGTTGAGATACAGAGTTAAACACTGGTCTGACCTATCTGACGTTTCCGCTGTGCTTCTCTCATGTACTAGCATCTTTGATAAATTAAATCTACTGGCACAGAAGCTAAGCAACAAAAAAAACATTAATATTAGTTTAAGTGTTCATTATTGTTGGAATATTTCCACTGCTTTACCTTTCACAATAATTGTTCAAGGCAGCTGTAGACCAGCGACTACTGTATTCTGTGAGTAAACTTTATGTTTTTGTCAGTGGAGTCTGGTTGCTTTGAGATAACAGCTTTAGTTGGTGGGCCTTTTTAGGTGGCTAAAAACTAACCGATAGAGGCAGCATTTGTTCAGCACCATTTCATTTTAAGTACATAACAAATGGATTTTCTACCTAGAAGTTATTGTAAACAACCAGCGTGATTCTGGAATTTTTAAATCACAATAAATTTGTCTTCTTGATCACCTGCCTGTTTCCTAATCTCCCTTAATTTGGTTGAGCAATTATTTTTCATCATCTCTTTATTTCAAATCTTTCTTTGTCTTTTATCATAATTTAAAGGAAACTAGATGACCATCAGTGCGTTGCCACCTCTGACCTCTGACTACTGGTTGCTTGTAATGTTTTTGATCGAGGAGCTGAAACCTGTTCTGCTATGAAACACTTTGGACTCTAGTGTCTTTTAAATGCCTGAAATTTAAAATGTAACACTGGAATTCAGTTTCATTCAACACTTTATTTCCCCTCACCAGGAATGTTGTTTGACGATGTTTCTTCACAGCCGTTCCTGTTACAAAATAACCGTAAAATAAGTATAGACACACTGTTTCTGTCAGTGTCAGACCCCACAGTGAGGTCGTCTCCCAAGGTCCTGAAAATTAAAAAAGACTCAAATATAACACATCCAACCACAGTCAACCTCTTGGTCCTTCTGTCAGCAAAATAAATACCACAACATACTTGTCTCTCTTCTAAAGCCAGGGGAGGCTCACACTACAGGAGTTTAATCTGAAGTTACCGTCTTGTTGTCTCACTGGGAGTAAATGTTGTAGCGTTGGCCGTCCAGCCTGAACAGGAAATAAATCTCATCAGAGTTTCACATATCTGAACCGAGGTGTGGAGAAACTTGACCTTCATCATGAACACTCAGAGTTCTAGCTCGGCACAATCAGGGTCTGTATTGTCTGTACTGCGACTGTGAAGCCAGAGGATTGCTGGTTCCAAACCGGAGCGGCGCCGTCGACCCTCCGAAGGCAGTTCTGTAGCTCTGAGAGGAAGGCACCCCGCTCCCACTCCCGCTCACACCCAGTCCAAACCCTGCTCCAAGACCCTGCGAGCCGAGCCCCAGCCCACCACCGGGCCGCGCTAGACCTTGACTCAGCATCCCTGTGTAGGGAGACGCTCCGTAGGTGAGTCCCAGGCCTCCGTAGGGCCTGTGGGCGTGGTGTCCCGGGGCAGGGAGGACCATCGGCTGCACGTTCCTCCCCGGTGTGTTGAAGGCGAACTCTGGAGGAGGGCTGCTGGGTTTGGCGGGCGTGGAGGTCAGTGGGTCCATCTCTGCTCCCGAGGACATGAGCAGGGGAGGCACAGAGGAGGAGGAGAGGGCGCCGTAGCCTTCAGGACCCAGAGGAGAAACAGAAGAGGCGGAGAGCGCCCCGGTGAGGAGGGGTCTGGTCCAGTCATCTTTAAAGATCTGGACGGTCAGCGTGGAGACGAGCGGCAGCAGCCGGTTGGTGACGTGAGCCAGGACCAGCTGCTCGTTGGCATCACGGCGGATACGAACGTGGGCAGAGCCAGCCTGAAACACAGAGGTGGAGAGAGGGGAAAGAGGTATAATATTTGCTACTACCACCAAGATCTGCACCCACAGCGGCTCCACCCGGGCCCACACCCTACGCTAAATACTGAAAGAGCAATTATCACAGTATCGTATAAGAGCAATTGTAACGTTGCCCAATTTCGCTGGGGCACAGGAATAAAAACAATTACATCATCAGGTTTTATGAATGGTTTTAACCAGTTTTTAACACTTATCAGTTACTGATGGGCTCAACACAAACTAATATTAATAACAATAATAACAATTCTGTTTTTGAAGCACTTCAGACTGAATTTAAAGTTGTTCAGTGACGCTCGCCTGTATCCGTCAGCCACGGTGCCTCTTCTGTAACAGCTGGTTAAATAAACATCACAATGACTCAGTGACCTCATCACAACACGTCTCACCTCGACATTCAGCCTCTAACGTCTACGTCTGACCTTAAAACACCAGACAGAGTGCTTCATTCTGTCCTCGTTTGATAATTTTACTGTCTTCATGGGAGTATTCAGACCTCAAAAGGACAGAGCGCACACACACACACACACACACGCACACACACTTATACACACACAGAGTCCCCCGTGGGGCAGAAGTGCAGTCAGAGGGTCAAATCAGTTTGGACAGCTGCTCTGTTAGCAGTGGGCCAACAACCAACAGTTGTGTAACTGCAGCAGCATCAGTCACAACAATGGGAGCAGCAGCATCGATAACATAAATACAAACAACAATAAACGCAGCAGCATCGGGGTCAGCATAAACAGAGGACGCTGCTCCACCTGCAGGCAGCAGGAGGAGCGCACACACACACACACACACACACACACACAGACTAACACCAACACCAGTGATTTTAAAAAGAGACAGAGGGATTAATTTGCATAGCACGACACAGTCATCACGTCATTCTACCAAATCATTATTTCATAAAGAGATAAACCCCCACCCACACACTCCTTTACAAAAAATACCAAAAATCATGATTTTAAAATCCACTAAAACATCTGAGTGCTAAATTTGGATATGACAACACAGACAGGCTTACATAAACACACGCATCAGTCTTTCCTTTCCATTTGGATGTCAACCTGTGAAGCCTGGTTTGGTTAAACAAGAATGTCTTTGCCTCAAGATCAGCGAACCTGTGTGCTCTGGAGAAGCTCAGAGGTCTGGGAGAATTTAATCATAACGAAGAAAAAGCCTTTTATTTTTTAGATGACGTGTTGAATAAAAAACTGGCACACAGGAAGCAGCAGTTTGAGTGACGACCTTTTTGTTGCAGCTGTTTTACTATTACTGCCGCAATTTCACATACTAAAACTGAAGTGAGTAACGTGCAGTTTTGTAAGATGAACAACAATAATTATAAGCTATTAATGACAAATCTGTGTTGACATCAGCAGGACGACAGCTAGATAACATGAGCTGTTAGCAGTTAGCCGTTAGCAGCCACTGGCCAGAACTACCTGCTGATGGAGGTTGCATTGAGTTACATCATGATGCATTCAAGCTCTATTCAGTAAAAATGAGTATTGAGCGCTCTCATGATGTGTTCAGTGTAATCATATAAAAAATGTAGTTTTAGGTGACAAACTTGGATAAAAACAGCTGTTTGAAGGAGAAATTTGTTGATGTTTCACAGCTATATAAAACAGACAATAGAGAGAGAATATTTATATATTACATATGCAGTAAAAATACTTTTCAAACAGTTTTTTTTTTCAAAAGATGTTTTTCATGTGTAAAGGTATATTAAAAGTTGTTTGTGCTCATTCAAAGGTAGTGTAATGAAGGGTTAAATGACTTTCAAATGTTACTTTAAAGTCGTTGTATTTTTTTTTAAATTATATATATTATTTCTTTGTTTCCCTGGCACAAAAACGGGGAATAAATAACAACAAAAACAAAATAAACAACAACAATGACAACAAATATCTATACCAGTATCAGCTAACAGCCAAATTGTTATTTTAAACATAGGTATTGGCCTAGAGTTTCAGAAGTGGTGCATCCCTACTTAATATCTATATGTATATATATGTAGTTTTCACATAAACCAAGAGAATAAAACAAATCCTCATCAGTCAGGCAACTGGGGAACTACATTTGTGAACAACATGTCCAGTATTTCCATTATGTAGTTGCATGACAAAGCACAGGTGTTCTCTACTTTCTAAGCTGTGAAAGTGCAGTGAGAAACATCTTGGCTTTTTGACTCACAGTGTACAGGACATTGTTTTCTACAATTTTAAATGTGATTAAAACAAATTATTCACTGATAATTCATTGTGAGAGCAGCTTAAAATTAGCATCGCTAATGAAAACTTGTGTTCTCTGGCTTTGGGGTGCTGTGAGTGATACATGTACAGTACATTCTGTGACAGACTGTAAGAAACTGAAACCTGGTAGCCTCGTGGTTAAGGTGTTACCACGCATTTGTAGTGTACAGAGTTTGATTACCGGCTGAGGGACCTTACATGAGATGTCATACCCCTCTCTCACCCCTCATCTCCTGTCTGTATCTCTACTCCTTCCATCCAATGAGGGCAGAACTCTTTGTTCCTATTCTAAAAAAAAAAAAACCCTAACCATGAACAGATTAACCAAACATTCTCCCGTTACTTGATGTCTTTGAAGCTCTCAGCCACACACACAAACTAAACCAAACTGCTATTTCCATCCAGAATTAACCTTCAGGGTCAACAACAGTTCACTTAAATTAGCTGCAATTAATAATTTGTATTCAGTTCTGAGAGCAGAGTGTGTTTCTGCAAAAAACAGACAGATGTTGGCGTGTGTGTTCTGTCTGCACAGGGTGTGTGTGTGTGTGTGTTTGTTTCCAAGGACCTCAGTGGCCCTGAAAGCCAGCTGGGCTTGTTTGCCGTCGCAACAACAACGTGCAAAACAGACGACGACAACTCGACACAGACTACAGCAACAACAACAACAACAACAACAGTGTTCCCTCCAAAAACTGGAGGAAGAGGGAGAGAATATCTCCGCATGAATGACTTGTTCCTTCTTTTCGTCTGGGTGAACAAATCCCTGCAGATCGTCACTCCGAACCGACGAATGACAGAGAGGGATGAGCGAGACGAAGGAGGGAGGAGGAGGAGGAGGGAGGAGAAATCTAGAAACAAATACTGAGACGAACAAAACAAACTAACAGGAGGATGGAAGGAATGAGAGAGAGAGAGGAGAGAAAACAGGAAGGAAACAGACGAGGAGGCACGCTGAGAGACGGAGGGAGCTGTAAATCAGGATATGAGAGCGATCAGGTGTAAATCAAACGTCTCAGTACTGAGGCAATCAGGCAGAGTGGACACATGACCTAAGACCCCAAACCTCAAAGCCTCAGGTGCACTGTGTGTCGCTGGGTTTTATGGAAATGGATTAATTGCAAATTTGTTCTATTTGCAACCTTGTGTATATTCCTGGGTGTCATAGCAATGTGGAAATATGAGGTTAAAACAAACGGGTGTGCAGTGTGTGTTCAGCAGCTTTATACATCCTAAAAACTGAAAATAAACTGACTAAGTCTAAAAATAATGAGCCAAAGTTGACTCACACAGGACTCAGACCCCAGTCTTCTGGGTGAAAAGTCCTGTACTTGATCCACTCACCCACTGCGTCTTACTTCCTCCATGGACTGTGTTGCTCTTTAGACTATGTCACATGACCATCTAGCAAAATATTTGTGAGTTTTTTTCTCACAGATTTACCAGAGAATACCTGATTGTCTAATACTAGCCTTGACCATGACCTCCTTGCCGTGATCCTAACCATCTCCGCCATAGGAGTGTCAGTGTAAGAAGTACTAGCTAATCACAACAGGCAGTGGGTCCATGATAATGCAGCATAGACATGGGTGTAAACAGCTCATAGCTGCAGTGTGACCTTTCTCACCCAGGTGCAGATAGACACTCCGTTGGTGAGTTTTACAGGTTAACTAACAGTTACAACTACGTATCACGTAAAAATTGCTTCATTTCCATTTTTCTGTTGTGTCTTTAATTGTTTGGCTGAGAAACGTACCAGAGATCCGAAGCCGACAGTCCAGAAGTGCTCATTTCGAACCTCCAGCACGCCGTCCAGAGTCGACACCTGATTGGACACAAAGAGGAGCAGTTAACCAGTAAGAATCATTGTGTCATAAACTTCACATGCTGGTTGTTTATAAATGAAAATAAAGTCAAAATATTTGTTTCATTTGAATAACTTTTTGTTTTCCAATCCTGCTGAAGTTCTGCAGCTCTGTGCGTAAATGTGCAGAATCCAAAGTCTCACAAAGGATCAAATTCATATTTCTCATCGCTCATCACTGGTCATTTCAATGGGGGGAAGGCAGCAGAGGAGAAGCAGTTTTGAACACGATGGTGGGGCTATGAAGGGGTTGCTGCCCATGTGTACCTGCACAGATTTTGCTGTGCTGTGTAGAGTTCACCGTGTTGAACTTGGGATGGGCAAGGCAGACGCAAAAAGACGACAAGACGGAGGAGCTGATAATGTTAGTGTCTGAATACCTGGAGTCCAACACAGCACAACCTATAAGGGCAACCAGAAGAAGAACTGGGCCTGGGATATCATCTTCACCAAACTTCAGATAACTGGTAAATATGTAAAAATCTTTGGTAATTTTAGTGATTTCCATTGGTATTTATACAGCGCCATGTTTGCTTGAACTTCTGCCAATGATGCTCACAGAAGCATCTGCCTTGCATCACAGCCCTGGATTGTAGCGGCAGCAGCCACTTTGAAAGATGCTTTGTTTTGGGGAGCGCTCTTGCGGGTAGGCGGCTGTCAGGGTGGTTACTGCGCAACAGTGTAAATGGCAGCTTTATATTCATTTCTGACTTTTATTTAATTGATTATAAGCTGAAAATGAGCAGAAGTCTTCACACAAAGGCAAAAAAAATTGTTATCATTATTTGTAAAAGATGATAAAACTTATTTACATCTGAAGTGTGTGTTTAGGACCAATTGTCTGTATTTGGAATGAACACAGATTAGGTTTTTTATTACTTGTGGACTGACATCAGATTTAAATAAGAGTGAATACAGCTTTAATGTCTCTGAGGGGTAATTTAGCTCACAGACAGCAGTCGATTAAAAATACAGAGAACAGTGAATAAAAAAAAAACATAAATAAAAAAAAGACAACAAAAAGAACACACAGATAAATCAGACATACAGTTTGAATTAAACATTAAATTAACCTGAGATGTGAGCTTTGTTTTAAAAATGAATATTAGCGCTGACTCTCACCTCTCTGAGCAGTTTGTCCAGCTGGCCGATGATGTGGGACGGCGTCGTCTGTGAATGACAGAGGACACAACAAATTAAAATCACACTTCCTAAAGTGTCCTAATGTGGGACTTTAAACTCAGCACGACACGTTCGTCTTACCTGCAGCAGCACTTTGCCGCTGTAGACGCTCATGGGATACATGGTGCCAAAGGTCATGAGCGCGATGGCGACTGCGGATGCCGTGTCCACCGCATTGTAGTTACTGAGCAAACACACAGAGCAAAGGACATCAATATCTACTAGATATTTAAGACATTTAAATGCTATAAGACAAGATATAAAAGAAAGATACTATAGAAGACACATGGATAGGATTTCAAAATAATAAAAAGATACAGCTAAAATTGTATAAAACAGAAGAGACATGCTGCAAGACCTTCACTTCCCACTGTATCTTTAAGGTGATAGCAGTCCTAGTCCATAGCTACAACATTTCTGTCTTGGTTCTGAAAACTTTAATGGTATCACATGATGTTCTTCAGCAGTTTGCTCAGTTGTCTTAGAACTACAGATGTTCACAGTTCATAGATTTCTTGTCCAAGTTGGCTAAAAAAACTGATTAAAATGATGCAATATGACAAAAAGCTCTAGAAAAGCCAATAAAAGGAGGCTGTGGTCAGAATTGTGTCTCAGCTGCTGTTTCTAACGTCAAGAATGAACTCTGAGCCTCAAAAGGAGACCAGACAGACAACAAATAATTAAAATACTCAGAATAAAAAATTTGAATTTAAACATGACAACTGAGCAAACTCTCTGTGCAGAGGAAGATCATGTGATATGACCAAAATTTAACTTTTTTGCTAAAGTTTTACAAAACTTTGTGTGTGAGATTTTTCTCAATGACTGTATGGGACCTTAGCGGTATCCTCATGTTAATCTGTCTGTCATCCACATAATTATGGCAAGATATTTTGTTTTCCATAATCTGAGCTAGTGGAAGCATGTGAATATTTCACAGAACCTTTTTATTATCATCATCATCATCATCATCTTAATGATCCAAGTCATGACACTTTTGCCACTAATTTAAAGTCTCATTTCTTGTCCTGTCTCCGTGTTCTTTCCCCACTGGAGTTTTTAACATCAGGACACATTTAAGGTTCAGAGAAGATACAGATCAGGACAGTTGAAAGCAGCCAGAGGGAATTTCCAACAGCAGTGATGGAAACATGACGTCACTGAGCCCAAGAAATCAGCCCTTGGATCAACGTGTCAGTGGTGAATTTAGGGGTTTACCAGCCACAGAGAGAAAGAGAGGAGTTCTTACTTGATTTCTATGAGCATGTAGGTGATGCAGAGGGAAAGAGCTCCAGCCATGTTGATCAGGACAAACGGGTTCATACGAGGCAGCAGCACGCTGCTCAGACCTGGAACGATGCCACACAAACTGCACACACACACACACAAACAAACCAAAACAAACAACAGAGACAGGATTAGTGCACATGATCACCTCCAGATTTCCCCACTACAGCAACTCCAAAGTTTCTTCAGCTTTGTTCAAGGGAAATACAAAAAATACTGTCTGCTCAAAGTAAATTTCAAAAATAGTTTTTTAAATGGCCATCAATTTAAGACACATTTATTGTGGATGTGATTTAAACCCCTGATACAATACGATGAGATATGATGCAATACGATATGATAAGTCACAGTGCAGAAACTAAAGATCCTCTAACTGTTTCATAGGGACTTTAAGGACAATGTTTTCAAATTTAACTTTATGAAACTAACATACATATTCCAATGTGTTCATTTGTAACTCTTAGCGTTAATACACTTGTTTAACTGACAAAGTAATGCCGTCATATAGTCCTGAAATAAACCTGCCTTATTAAGGTTTTACTATTGAGATTTTGTTGAAACTGATTTACAGAGGTGTTGAATCAACTTTATGATCATTTTGGAGGCTGAAGTTTGCAGTGCTGCTCGATTTAAAGGAGCTATATGTAAGAAATCTAAAGCAAATAGTCATAAAATCATCCTAATATGTCACAGAGACTAAGGAATAATGTTCATATAACATACTGATCTCACTGACAACAACAGTACAGCCGGAATATTCGCATTTTTAAAAAAAAATTTACAGTCCGCAAATCATGTTTATGTTTTGAATTTGTGTTTTGGCCTGTTGCACCACCCACCGCCGTCTACCAGTCACGCAGTCAGTAGAGTCTCAGCATCAGTTACAGTTACAACTGAGCTTCAATGGCTGATGGTGCGACTAAACCCAAACGACCTCATTATGATTCCCAAAAACACCAAGACAAAACTCGAGGCAAAGCGAGGGTCTATATAGGAGATGATTTTGAACGGTGGAGACGGTTAAAAGCGGAGAAGAATTTGAAATCGGATGTCAAAGTGGCTACTCTTCTCCTCGACAAGTAAGCTTTAGCCAAAGTTGGCTAACTAGCATCACAGCTAGACGGGGATGGACATGTCGAATACTTTCAACTGTTATTCATTTCCGATCATATATTGTAGCCCATGTGCAGGTGGGTCATCGACCTGACTAATTTTTTTGAGAAACAAACGTTAGCAGCACAGCAAGCAGCACTAGCAGTGTCCCGGTACACAGCATTAGCAGCCGGCTCCTCCTCAGCTGTATCCCGGCAGCAGCGTTAACAGCAGAGAAGCCAGACTTGCTTGAATGGTCCGTTGGAAAACCGCAGATCAAGGACGCGGCGACGCGGCCCTGCCACGGCAATCGCCCGTGGGCAAACAAATCAGTCTCCAGCGTGCCGCTGTCCAGCAACCTCGAATCTGTAGGGGAGGGGGGGCAGACACGACTCAGGGCAGTATTTTGAATTTGAGTGCAGTAACTGTTTTGGCCACATTCTTACATACAGCGCCTTTAACTGCATCAGATAGGTTACCTAATAAAACTGGCAACTGAGCATATCTACCAGTTAGGGCTGTACCAAAACATTATTTTGGTTATTGACTAATCTGACAATTATTTTCATGACTCACTGAGTAAACCTTTAGTCTATAAAATGCCCCCAAAAAATGCTCATCACAATTTCCAGGAACCCAAAGTGACATCTTCAATTTGCTGCTTTTGTCCAAACAACAGTCCAAAAACTCTTCATTTACAATCATAAATGACAACAACAAGCAGCAAGTTCTCACATCTGAGAGGGTGACACCAGCCAATGTTTGACATCTTTGCTTATTTTTGCTTGTCAAAATAGTTGCGTTTTAATTTTGTTTAATCAATTAATCAATTAATCGATGAATCTTTGCAGCTCTAGTACAAGTTTTCTGCTAGAAGTTGTGTTTTTGTTTGTTAGATTATGGGAACAAGGTGCTGGAGGCTCTGTTACATATGTTCCTTTATCTGGTGATGGTTCCTCTTCCGAACTGGATGTGACACAAGTGAACATCAAGTTGTTTCAGTGTTTGCCAATGAAGATTTCTGTGTCGTTTGTTTGAAAGACTGCTCATCCTGGCTCTGTTTTGGCGAAGCATTGCACACCTTCAACCTATTGTCAGAGCAACAGCAACTCATTGTTTAGACTTGTTCAGGTCTTGACAGGCTTCCTGAATGTTACTGTTGTTCATAGTATATGTGGGCACTTTTTCACATTCCACCTGCTGTATATTAGGAAGAGCTGGTACACTTACACTATCTGTCTTGAGTCAAAACAATCCCAGAAACAAAACATTGCCAGAAGGCAGATCATATTTGAGCTAAACACAGAAGCTCCTGTATCTGCTCTTGTTCCTGTCTGTAGAGGACTGAGTGTGCATCCTCCTCTTCCTCTCTAAGCTGCAGCCTCCCTGTGTTTATGTTTGTCTTTAGGATTAGGACTTTAACCCGATCACACCGTCATAATGGACTTTAGGGAGGTTGAAGTGGAGTTGATGGGATCATTCTTGTTTTGTTTCATGTTATATTATGTCTAAGGTCTAAGACAGCAGTCTAAGCTCCATAAACCTCCTCTACAAACATCCTGCATCGACAACAGTAAGGGAAGCTCCACAGTCCAGACAGAGAAGTCACTCCTGAATCAATTCTACTGTCGTACAAGTTTTCCATAGAAATGCTTTTTATGGAAACTTGGATCGATATGTTCACATTTTATCTTAAAATGCTAATGTGGGCAAAAACACTGAACAAGTAATTATCCCAGCTCAATCCCAGTCTGCAGAAGGTGATGGATCAACCAAAGAACCAAACATTTCTAAGTTAGATCATTTCTTCTCCTCACTTGCTCAAAGGCACTTCAGCAGGAAGTGATCTATCTATTTTTGGTTTAATGTGATCTGATGAGACGACGTGATGCAACACATGAAAAGAAACACTATGACATGGGCCATGTTAACGACAGCTGCATGCTCTGGATAAGTTACAGATTTAATCAGTGGGACTTGACTGCTGTTAGTTTAACTGAACGAGGTCACTGAGGACGAACATCAATATCAATAACTCCTCTTCCATCAACAGAGACAAAACAGAGCCTGTAAACATCATTAATTAATAAGCTGAAGTCCTGCTGGAACAGAAGTTCATTTACCAGCTAGTAAAAACATTCTCTAATCTAGATTAATGCACTTGTACTAAACAAAGAAATCAGACAAGGTCAATAAGGTGAGTAAAAGTGACTTGATAATTTTTTTTTAAAACACTGACAAGCCGAAGCATATTTATATAATTTATCATTAGATTTTTACCGTTTCTGTACACAGGTGGTGCATGCAGGACACACGCAGCCATGTGCTCCTCAGTCTGAATCAATTTTAAGCTTTTATATGAATATTATCACAATTCAATATTATGTACAGGGTGGCTACAGGTATCAGACAGTTACATTTAATGACTTTTAAGACCTGTTCAAGACACCTTTAAACCAAATTTAGGACATATTTTCAGACAAAGCAGTTTTTACTTATTTAAGTATCACAGTTAAGCAGGGGGAAAACAACCTCCTCTTTTAATCCAGTCGTCAAAGCTTTGATTGATTTCAACCAGAGAAACAGCATCAACTTCTCTTAATTGATGTTTGAGGTACGAGTTTAACAATCACTCAAAACATGAGACAGTTACTCAACGAAAAGTAAAAGAAAAGATCTTGCTGCTTTCTCGAACTGCCCTTTCTAATGTGAGTAACGACTCTTTGGCCCTGTTTGACCCGGCAGTTGGCCTCAAACATTCAACCTATTCCCCAAAACCCTAAACAGAGCCGACCCTGTACGCTCTCTGGGTAACACACCCAGCCCGGTGTTCCTGGAACCGATTAACGGGTCAATGAACGTGTCTCCGGGCGGATCGGCCCGGTGCTGTGTGTCAGATTGAATTTCCAATACGTCAAAGGGCAGCGCTCTGAAGCCGCCGCGGCCCGATGGCATCGAGCGCTGTCACAAACATGAAGAGGAGCACAGGGGCTGGACGCCGCAAGGTGTTTGTCATTAAATAATGTTTGGAAAAAAACAAAACAAAATGGTGACATGGATGTCAACACGTAACTAATGTCAAGAGAGTCACATGTTTGCCACAGGCAGGACTTTCAGAAAACTGAAGATGGAGAAGGGGAGCGGAGGAAAAAGGAGAGGAAATATGTGTGAATATTTGTGTGTGGGTTATGAAAGATTTTTACATTCTTATGACATCATCCAGCTCGGTTTGAATGAGTGAATCTGGGTCTCGTTAAAATGGAAAGCAGAGACATACAACGGAGGTAATGTCCTCAGAGAGAAGATGGTAAATGGGACTGTATGACGGCAGATATATGAGCACAGGTTGTGATTCACTGCTGGATGCTCTGTGATCATATCAGGAACACAGAGCGTCGGTATGGAGTCCGAAAACAGCGCAGTGACTCGCAACATTTGAGCTACTGGGTTCCCCTCAACAGATTTAAGATGCTTATTTTTGTTCCCTACAGAAAGTTTGATTCTTGCAGAAAATAAGACTTCATGTTGAGTTGAGCTTCCTCACATACATCTGGCAATATCTTTTAGTAACTGACATCTGAAGCCATAAACTATAGCGTATAATTCCACTTACATTCACTGTATGTGGCTTTAACACTCGAATGATTTGATTTATCTTGTTAAAATAGATGTTAATATAACAAAATTTGTTTAGATGGAAATTATTTAACTAATTTGACTAAACCCTTTATGGCGGACAAAACAGAGCTCCGTGGAGCTGCCAACTTCAGAAAGGAGGCAGAAGTGCTGCAAAGTGCCCCGAAGCCGGGAAGCCGGTCATGGAGTTCCGCAGGCAGCTTCCCAGCTTCCAGGCACCTTGCGGCACTTCTGTTGTCTCCGCGGCAAAGCAGCCCCAAATCAGGAAGCCGGTCATGGAGTTCTACAGACGGCTTCCCGGTGGGCCAAATCTATCGCTGCAGCACCGATAGTCTTGCCTGGTCTAGTTTCTTTTCAATTTCATTTTAGAAATAGTCTAGTATCACTGTTGTCTGTGATTGTGTCTGTTAAATTACGTAGCTGACTTCTTCAACATTCGTCAGACAAGCAGACATACATACACACACACACACACACACACACACATACATACATACATACATATACACACACACAAGCAAGCAGACAGACAGGCAGAGACGCTCTGTGTGTTTAGAAAATGTGAACAGTACCCTAATGTTAATGTCCGGAATACTGCACCTCATGTCCCAAAGATACAAAGAAAGAAAGTAAGAAATACTAGGAAAAAGAAAAGTACAGATTTGGGGATGAGACTGACGATTCCAGCAATCCCATAATCCCTCGTGATGCATTGATATAATTTGACATGTGACCCTGTGTGTGTATGTGTGTGTTAATCCAGACACGTTGCAGACAGAGCGCGAGGGATTAGAGAAGAGAGACAAACAAACACTTGATACTCTGCTCTGTTGGCTCCACACGGGACAGAATGATAAACAGAAAACGGTAATAGATGATGTAGAAAACTCAAAATGTTTGTTTTCATTACTGTACAGAAATTCTAAAGTATTGACGTGACACTGATGTTGTATGTTTACAGCCAGATGCTATTAGTTACAATCAAATGAAGGGAAATTGCACATTCAGGAGCTGAGAGGAGAAACACAATTAATAAAGCAATGAAAAGGAGTTACCAAAAAGCATACTGTATATAAAAGAGGCATAATATTATTTTATTTTAAGAGTTTTCTGTCTGAAAACATTTCTATAGATAGAAGATATTTCTTAAAATCCTTTGATAAAAGGATATGATATTTAGTATTCATGTTGATGTTGACTATGTTTACATGCACCAAATATTCCAGTTTCTGCCCTTGCTCCGAAAAGGACAATACTCCTGCTAAGCTGGTTACATGGCAGATGAAAATGAATATTCCAGGAATAGGAACAGCTGGAGCTGCTTCTCATTTTGCGTTGTTGCATCAAAATAGGATTTTTTTCAAAGTTTTCCACTGCTAACAGAGTTGTTGGATCGTGCGAACACAGCCTCCCTCTTTTAATTCTTTAACCACCTCCTTGAAAAAGATCTGCATTGTAAGATTTGTGCATATCAATGTGTTTAAATTTGTGTTTCTCTTTCTGAGCAGAAATGTGGGCTTTTCTTTTGGGCATGCACCTCTACACAAAGCAAATGGGCAAATGGCTGGCTAGTTGGTTCGTGTACAACTGATCCATGACAATGACAATAAACAGGCAAGAGGCTGTGTGTTGCTACAGTAAACATCCCTGTTGAGACGCATATTCTGAATGCACTACATGTCCAAAGAATGCACCTTTAACTCAGATACTGCCAGCATATCACACACGTCTTGAACCGAAGAAACGACATTTGAAAAAAGGCCTAATTCAGAACATCCGTCCATTTTCATCCGCTTATCCGGGACCGAGTCCTGGTGGCAGCAGGCCAAGCAAAGCACCCCCGACGTCCCTCTCCCCAGCAACATTTTCCAGCTCCTCCTGGGGGACCCCAAGGCGTTCCCAGGCCTGATGAGATATGTAATCTCTCCAGTATGTTCTGGGTCTGCCCCGGGGCCTTCTATCAGTGGGACGTGCCTGGAGCACCTCTAACAGGAGGTGCCAAGGACGCATCCTGATCAGATGTCCGAACCACCTCAACTATCTCTAAGGCTGAGCCCAGACACCTCACAGAGGAAACTCATTTTGGCCGCTTGTATACACGATCTCATTCTTTCAGTCATTCTTTCAGTCACTACCCAGAGTTCATGACCGTAGGTGAGGGCTGGCACATAGGTGGACCAGTGAATCGAAACCTTCTAATCCAGCACATCCAAACGGAATCTGCTGATCCACTTAAAATTTGGATATTGTCATATTCAGAGTTATAGTGAAATATTGGTGTGCATGTAAACATGGCCACTTTAAGATATTTGACATTATTCTTTGTAGTCCGTAGACGAACGGATGGCAGAAAGAGGCAGAGTTAGGTAACCTCTCAACTTGTTGCGTGGACTTTTTCTCCATGACCAGGTGTAAATGTACAGATGTTATTTACATCTGGCTGAGATCAGAGCACTGACAAGATATCCAGACACAAAGGTGGAGGCGGTAGGGCGTGATTTTATCTTTAAAACAAAGAGAATCCCAAAATACCTTTACGAGAAAGAATTTAGTATAGAGGCTAAACTATGTAGACAGATGTTTAGATTTCCTTTTAAAGTGATGCAACAAAAAATCAGGATCAGGGTTTGATAACAATCACAAACAGATAAATTTCTCTTTCTTTCTCTGTCATACACAATTTCTCAAAATATCTGTCTCCCTTCTCCCCGCTGGCAACTTTCACAGACACACACACACACACACACACACACACACACGCACGCACGCACGCACACACACACACAACTCAGGCTTCTGGCTGGTGAGGCCGACAGAGCAGCAGGCTTTATATAACCCAGTTGGCCCCCAGACCCTGCTGGGGTTAAGTAGGGACAGGCTATTACAACACAGACAGCAACACACACACATACAAACAGATACACACAGTCAAGCAAACACATCACATCCAAACACACACACACGCTAAGTGCTCATATAAAGGCATACAGAGCATCTCTCTCTCTCTCTCTCTCTCTCTCTCTCTCTCTCTCTCTCTCTCTCACACACACACAAACACACACACACACACACACACACACACAAAGACTGGAAACTAGGCTGGGACGTCCTGTTCATTTCTGCCCTTTCAGCCAATCACAGCTCAGTTCTGCTGCTGCACAACTCTCCAGGCTGTCGCCCCGAGAAACCTGCACCAACTGAGCTGCTGACTCTGTGTGTGTGTGTGTGTGTGTGTGTGTGTGTGTGCGCGCGCGTGCGTGCGTGCACACATCTTATTCTTCACCCACGTCAGATGTGGGAAAACACACTGGGATGTAATGTTCATTCCAACAGCATCAGTCTGCTTTGGAGTCAGTGTATATGTTACTATGGCAACATAAAGAAAGATGAAGGAAGAAGTTATACGCACGTCAACCCCTTCACAAGAAGTAACAGGCCTGTTCTGTGCTCTCAGAGTAGGGGAATCTTGTGTAAGGAGAGCCTTCAGAGACTTGGTCCAAAGTGCCTTGGAGCACACAGACTTGAGGCAACAAACTTTATTTGAGGACTCGGGGGCCCAGACACACCAAGCCGACGGTCAACCATCGGTCAACGTCGGGCCATCTTTGATCGTCAGTTGCCCTAGTTTTTGCGGAGTGTCTTGCACCAGTGGCACTAGTCTGCTTTTTTCGGCAGTTTTTCAAACGATTCAGCATGTTGAATCAGCATCTGAGCCTGCAGAGTTCGTCATCATTCAAAATCACATTGTGTTGTTAATTATGCTAACTGGCTAACTAGGGTCTTGAATCCGTCCTGTTGGTCCTCTGGTTTCCTTTTCAGAATGAGGATTATGGAGAGTTACTCTCATGCAGAACATGCAGAACATATGTGCTACTTGGACATTGGCTGTAGTCTTTGCCACTTGTTCAAGTGCAATATTTTGGCCGAGACACAGGTGGCAGGAGGCTACAGAATAGTTGGCCTTCCTTCCCACTAGTTGCCACAGTACAGATTCTCTTAAATAGCCTCCCCTAAACTCTTGGGGTCAGAAAAATTACACAAGTCCCTCGAGGTGAAGATATAATTGATAAGCAGTTGTGTAGAGAAGCTTTTTGGATCACTGAACACAACACTGTTAAACCATCAGGACTTAAAGAACTTTTTTACAGCTGGAAAGATAGTGTTGTCACAAAACTAGGCTGTATATGCAAAATGAAGACGCAAATACTTCGAAAAATTGGTGCCACAGTTAAAATTTAGTTTCCAAAAGTTTGTTTCAAGTCTGTCTGCTCCAGCGTACTATGGATCGAATCTCTGGAGTCTCTCCTCATACAACATAAAGAAAGATGTTCAGGACTAGAAGCCCAGGCTTTAAGGGTGCTTTCACACCTGCCCTGATTGGTTCGGTTCAATCTAACTCAAGTTTGTTTGCCCGCTCAGTGCAGTTCGTTAGGGCAGGTGTGAACACAGCAATCGCACCTGGCTGACCACCTCTTCAAGAAGGTCTCAGTCCGGTTACAAACAAACTCTGGTGCGGTTTGTATGTGGTAAGAACGTGTTCCAACAGCAGTGTTACTGAACTGGATACAAACACATACACACACACACACACACACACTTGACAGGTGATCAGTCAGCTATGGATAAAGTGTAGTTTTACCAATAGATCCTTCTGATAACTGGGCTGCAGTGGCCTTTGACCCTTGAACCCAGGTCACGAGTGAGAAGCTGGGCAGATGTGTGTGTGTGTGTGTGTGTGTTCTCAGGTCACTGTATCATAACACTGATCTTACAGCTGTTTCTAAGAAGCTCAATCAATGAGCCAATCTGTTTGCCCACCTGACCCTGAAACCTCACACTGACCGAGGGTAACCTCTGACCTCAGAGGAAAGGCCATCTGTACACACACACCTGGACACACAGATTCACACTGTAAGCAGTGACACACACACAGGATGGGCACTTTCACTGCCGTCAGGAGTGTGTGCGTGTGTGTGTTGAGTCAGTGTAAGTGGATCCTTCCTGTTCCTACCTGAGACTGAAATCTGCTGATGAGGGACAAAGAGAGGGGCGGAGAGAGAGGGTGAAAAACAAAGGGAGGCAGAGAGAGGAGGGATGACAGACAGACAGACAGGGATGCTGCAGATGTTCTTACCTTCGACTCAAATCGGCCACATGTTCCTGAAGCCAACTGCTGCTGGCGGCTGGAGACAAAGAAAGACAGAGAGAGATGCCTGAGATGTACAAAATATTTGACAATTTAAAACAACAGTAAACAAACAAGTTCAACAAAAATCCTCCCTAGTCTTTAAACTACACGCTTTGCAATCAATCAGGGTGTTGCATAAAGGTTCCTGTCGGCTTTGCGCAGCTATCAGCGTCCAGAGGAAGATCTCTGTTCGTCCCAAACACATTTTCTATTGTCCATGAGACAACTGGACGCCATTAGTCTTGAGCCCTGCTTTTTAGCCTGCACCAAACTGATGTGACACAATGGAAATACAGTGGCCACTGCCATCAGTGAATGTCATCTTATTTGCCAATAGGCACAAAAGCCCCTTTTCCACCAACATTTCAATGAACTTTTATTACCATGAATTTATTTACCTGGGTAAAAGAATTCCTGGTAATATGTGTGGTTTGTGTTTCCACCGCACCTCAAAGTTCCGGAAAATTTATTCAGATCAGGCTAATGATGTAGATGATTCGGCGTGCGCCCTGTATTTGGCTCCGCCAGCTTGGCTGGTTACATGCTGGTGTAGAGAGTTGGGGCTGGTTGTCTCAGCCAGCAGCTAAGTTTCAAAGTATTTTAAGATAAGTGTCAAACTAAGTTAGTCTACATATAGACAGCTGTCATTTGAGCTTATTAGTAACAATTCGCTATCAGCTGAACTAGCGAGCTGTCCTTGTTTAACACATAATGTTAGTGGTGGATGAGAGACTGTGGACGGAGCATATTGAATATCGTTATCTACATGTTGATGCTTGCTGAACATATGTATTGATAACGTACTGGCTTCATACTCGCTAAGGTTTAATGTTACTGACAGTAACAAGTGTAGCTGCCGTCAACTCGAGTCATTTTTGAGTTATCTTCACTTCGTTTCCATCGCAGCCGCTCAGCTGTTCACCAGTTACCGTGTCGTGTAGGCGTGTTTTTCAAAATCCCAGACAAATGATAAAAGTTCCTGCGGTGGAAAAGGGGCTAATGAGGTGAATATCAGTTGATACTGATGTGTGGCTGTTAAATCAGTGCATCCCTAAGATTTTGAATTTTCTTAAGTTTCAAGTCCATCAGTACATTTCTGCACTCATGGTCACATTTTTACATTAATATTTATTTAGTCATGCATCTTTTATTCATGGACACAAACTGTTCTTAGAACCTGTCATTTTGACATTTTGGGGGGGTATAGACTGGCATTTTTTTAAATGTTTGAAGCATGAAGTTCAGAACTAAATTCTGGCTGTTGCTTTTTTAGAAGGACTTCAGAGTGAAAACAGCAAACAGTTAAGCCTGATTTATGGTCCTGCGTTAAATCAATGAAGTTGCTACGTCGTAGGGTACGTGGCTACGCAGAAGGCTCGCCATAGCCCCCGGCGTAGCCTGACGTGCACCTCCCCAAAAATGTAACTACACGTCGAGGCGACGCAGACCCAGCGCAGACCGAGAGGGCTGTGATTGATTTGCTTGGTAGCAACGCATTTCTGGTTCCGTATTTCCAGATTGCGCCATCCCCGCCATCTTTAAACATCTTCTGTTGGCGATGTAGATGTTGCACATATGTTGCAGTATTAAGGCCCATTTATGTTCAACGTTCAACACGGATACGGACGGAGCCGTCTGTCCGTGCTCCGCGTTCATTTCTCTGTGACCGGAAAAGCCAGAAGCTAAACAAAGAATCAACTAGAGACGACGATGACCATTCAGGAAAGGAATGCAGCCTCCTACCGCTCTGGCGGTGAAGTGCACTGCAACGAAATGGAGTGACGGAGAAGTTCGAAGGGTTCACGACGGTGTCACGGCAACGACGTAGGTACGTTGTAGGTACACCGCAGGACCATAAATCAGGCTTTATGGTTAGGGCTGCATCTATCAATTACTTTGAGCATCAAAGGGGTAATGGTTAAGTCAATATCGGGTTCCTACAGCTTCAGACAAGTAAGATCAATTTTACAATAACTAAAGTTCAAAGAAAAAAAACAAAACAAAACACATGAGCTGACATCAGTCATTTACGGTCAGGACAGTTTTGCCTAAATGTTTTCTGTAATATAAATCATGAATTTTTTGTCTTGTGGCAAAGATGAAGGTAAAACATAACTGGGAAATATGTCTGTGTTTGTTGGCAGGTTTTCTGGGTGATTTTTTCATTTTGCAGGTGGGATTCCATTGCCTTGTACCAGTTTCAGCCATGCCACGAAATCTTGGTTAAATAGCCAATTTTTGTTGAATCTGCAGTTTCCCATGTCATCCAGTGAGCAGTTACAACTAGCAAGCAGACAGTGGATCCTCTGTTCTGAGCACCCCGGGTGGAAACTAAATATGAGTGTTGTGGTTTCTACTATCCAGATAATGATGTTAATGTGAGAGGCATTTGGCAAATCAAATAAAAAATAGATGTTACCAATTTATTTGAGATTTTATAATGCAACACCAGAAATATTAGACATAAAATCCTACTTCTCATGTCCTAGTATTCTTTAGACTTTAGAGACATTAATTCAATGCCAATTAAGACTTTTAAGGTATCTGCAAGAACCAAGCTATAAAATGTCAGAAAACAGTAAAAAAAACAAAAACAAAAAAACAATTGTAAAACTTCCCAGAGCTCGAGGTGACATCGCTTATTCACTCTTTCTGGCTCTGTCCCTCGCTTTGCAAATATTGGACAGATATCTTTGCCACCCTTGTCAGAAGTTATCTGGGAGCAAATTGAACCGAACGCTCTTTGTGCTTAATTTGGGATTTCTCCTTCACCATCTTCCCTTCATAAGCCCCAAAAGGCTATTATAGCCTTTACAACCCTATTAGCCAGATGGCTAATATCGATCACTTGGAAATCAACAAGACCCCTCTCTCATACTCGCTGGATAAAGGACATCCTATATTTTATCATTCTGGAAAAGATTCAGCTCTCAGCTATTGGTTTATCCAATGAATTTAACGATACTTGGGGTCCTTTTTTCTATACGTTAAAATGATTAGGTTCCCTCAGAATGACCTACATATTTGACAGTGACGGTTGTGTAACCAATGTCAGGTGGGTTTGGTACTGCGGGAAAGTGTCCAGAAAATACTTGGCATTTTTGCTTGATAAAAGATGAAACATTTTTACTCAGCTCTTCGATATTACAAACAGACTTTGATTTTATTTGCCCTTTACACCCCCACATCTGTATACAATTTGCACACATCAGTTTGAACTTTTTATTGTTACACCTGTACTGGGCACCTTTTAACATTTTGTTTTTAGTGTTTGTTATTGTTGCCAGTGTCTGTTTTTGTAGTAATTTTATTGCAAGGATGTTTTTAAAGTATCTCTTTTAATGATGATTTTCATGACGGTATTTATTTTTCTATCATTCAGCTTGAGAAACGCTCTCTCATCTGGCTCTGCACACAAATGCATAGCAAAATGACAATAAAGCTGAATTGAACGGATTTTTTTTTTTACATATTTCTTATATTTTTTCAAAATTTCTTCTGTAAAGTTTTTTATTTTATACATCTCTTGGCTTTTGCACTATGTTTACTGTTATGCACCAAATCACCGAGACAAAACCGTGAGCGTGCAAACCTACTTGTGATGGACAAATCAAACTGATAGTTTCGGCTTTAGTTAAGGTAACATTTAATCCAAAAGTAAATGTATGTGTTTGTGGAGAATAATTCTTTCACGTTGTCTCAGAAGCAGCAAACTTCTCTGGAGAATAAAGTCTCGATAGTCTGACATGAACTGAAGACTCATTTGACGGTTTCACATGGAGAACAGAAACATCTTTCTAGTTCAATGCTGCATGAAATATTAAGACACACAGCTGTTTCATTTCACAGCTGACTCCATCATCTCTGTCCTTTAGACTCAAACATCTTCTTCTGGTTTTTCGTCAAACAATCTCAAAAAATTCCTGATAATTCTGCATACAGAAGAGCAGGTAGTGCTTCTACAGATCTCTTATTATTGGACCCAAACTCTGATTAAACAGAGACGAGCAGGGAGTGTTCACCCTCCCCGTCATGATGAGGGATAAAAATACTTTTGGGAGGGGAGCGGGCGGATCACCCACTCGTCTTTAAAAAAAGATAAGCGCTCTCGCTCCGCTGCGTCGTCCCACCTTTAATGTTTGACGACACTACGAGGCCCGAAGGCTTGACGTTGGGTCAAAGGCCCTTCACATCCCATCCTGCTCAGACCTGAGTGTGTATGTGTGTGTGTGTGTGTGTGTGTGTTTGTGTGTGTAGAGGGGAGGGGGGTTTGTTTGTTTTGCTAGCAGGATGAGTCAGTCTAAACAAACATTTTAATGGAGTGACTTATTTATGATCTGTGTGTAGGAGGGCGTACAATGTTTCTGAGAGTGTGTGTGTGTGTGTGTGCGTCTGTGTCTGTTGGCATGTCTCTCTGCCCGCCTGGCCCTCTGGCACACTACATTACCACTGTCTGGAACATGGTTGCGTAATGCACTTTTAGTCTCGCTCCGTCAGAGTGTGTGTGTGTGTGTGTGTGTGCAATGAGTGAGAGATATTGTGTGTTTTGGCAAAGTAAAGTGCCTGTGTGTGTTTGTGTGTGTGTAGTTTCATCCCCCTCCCATCCCAAAATGTCAGATGTTAAGTGATGTTGAGACTGCTCCGAACGCAAGAGCAGACAGCTGACACACACACACACACACACACACACACACACACACACACACTGACCTCATTCATCAGTAGACTGTACACAGATAGTGAGTCAGCTGAGGAGAGGAGAGGAGAGGAGAGGAGAGGAGAAAAGGAAACGAGGAGAGGAGAGGAGAGGAGAGGAGAGGACAAAAGGAAACGAGGAGAAGAGAGGAGAAGAGAGGAGAGGAGAGGAGAGGAGAGGAGAGGAGAAAAGGAAACGAGGAGAGGAGAGGACAAAAGGAAACGAGGAGAAGAGAGGAGAAGAGAGGAGAGGAGAGGAGAGGAGAGGAGAGGAGCGGAGAGGACAAAAGGAAACGAGGAGAGGAGAGGAGAGGAGAGGAGAGGAGAGGAGAGGAGAGGAGAGGAAATGAGAGGCAAGGGGGAAGAGGAGAAACAGGGGACAGAAGAGGAGAGGCAAGGAGAAGAGATGAGAGCAGACTAGAGGAGAAAACAAGGGTTTTTGGTTTTCAAGTCCCTTTATTAAATCATTTCAACAATGACTGAAAACCATTTAGTTCAAATCAAGAAAAATAAGAAACAAAACCAGAGAAAAACTGCTCCTGAATAAAACAGTCTGCCAGACACAGTAAATGTTAAACAACTGCTCAGAAATGACATACCAGCTCTCCATTCCCTGTCACAGAGCACAGGACACCCCCAACAAGGGAGAGGAGAGAAGAGGAGAGACCAAAACAAGGGAGAGGAAAATAAAGGATTAAAAGGTGCAAGAGGAGAGGAGAGGAGCGGAGAGGACAAAAGGAAACGAGGAGAAGAGAGGAGAGGAGAGGAGAGGAGAGGAGAGGAAATGAGAGTCCAAGGGGGGAGAGGAGAAACAGGGGACAGAAGAGGAGAGGCAAGGAGAAGAGATGAGAGGAGACTAGAGGAGAAAACAAGGGAGAGGAGAGAAGAGGAGAGACCAAAACAAGGGAGAGGAAAATAAAGGATTAAAAGGTGCAAGAGGAGAGGAGAGGAGCGGAGAGGAGAGGAGAGGATCTTTCACATCTGTCCCTCTCATTTCCTTCCTTCCTTCCTTCCTTCCTTCCTTCTTTGTCTCCTTGCTACTTCCATCTTTTCATTCTGATCATTAGTTTCCCTTTTTTGAAAGAAATTATGGGATGGAAAGAGAAAAGGAAGGAAACAAGGAAATGTTGAAGTCAAGGGAGCATGAAAGTGGAAAGGATGTATTACTGGATGTGGATGTTTTATAACTGATGTCGGTGAAAAAGCAAACACAGTCTGCCTTCTGTTTTTCTAACACTCTCAGACTTTTCCTCTCCTTCTTCATTCTCTCCTCTCTTCCCTCCTTTTCCTCTCTCCTAAATTTCTGTCTGTCCCAAGGGAATCTCTGTTTGTGTAAGTGAGTGAGTGTTTGTTTTTGAATCTGCTTTAAGTGTGCAAACAGGTCCAGATGAGTGCATGTGATTCTCTGCAAATTAACGTGTGTGTGAACGAGGCTGCAGCCTGCATGTGTGTGTGTCTGTGTGTGTTGCAGTCTGTCTGTATTAGCAGTAGACCGAGTCTCAGTGAGGTTAATATGTCCCGGGGTCAACACTGGCCTGGCCTGCCCTCCCCTCCTGCATCTGTGTGTGCCTGTGTGTGACCTTTAACTTGTGTGTTGTATATTGTGTGTTTTTGGGGGTTACAAATAATGTTGAGGTAAGTGTGAGTCTCAGACTGGTTCTAAGTTCCCTGATGTGTTCATGCAGGTGAGTTTATATTAATTTTGGACTACATCCAGTTTAATGTTCCATTGATCATAACTTTATCTGATGTTTCTATGCACATGGTCTGATGCCAGTTTGCACGTTGAGGAACAACATCTGCCCAAAACATCCGTGCGATACATCTATAAACAATTTCACTTCATAATATCTGTTTACCAAACTGTGGTTGAGGTCTTCCCATACAGACCACAGAGTTAACTGCAAAAATGTAATCTTGGTTTACGTGCATGAACTTGTGTGTTTGACATGAAAAAGTAAGTCATGCACGTGGGTTTGCTGACACCAAATGAGTCAACAGGAAGCTCAACTGCTCATTATGGTCAGAGGTTTGGTTAATGTCTTTCCTAGATGAGATAATGGGGCATTACGTTTACTCTTCCATGGAGCAGCATGTGAATCCCTCAGCAACAGGCTCCACTGCAGCACCAGTGATGTCTTCTTGCTCTTGTTTTTGTAAACTTTGCGAAACAGGGTTGAGAAGTTGGTCACAAACATCCCAAAGACATTTGTCCCACTATTTTGCAGGGTCTTACAATTGCAATCGCAGAAACATAATGACTTAAATCCTGGAGGAATGCAGATGAGAAAAAGCTGGTATGCATTAAGATGCCATGTCGGTCGTGGTGGCACAATTCAAGATAAAACAGAGCTGAGTGTAAATACTGTCAGAAAACAGCAGGGTGTATCCCAGCCTCTACAGGACTGTTCAGTGTGGTGTGTGTGTGTGTGGCAAACAGGGGGGCACTGCGACAACAGGGCGGCCAACAGCTGGGCGCAAAGGAAGGAGAATAGGTGCAGTTTCACCCAACTAAGGACAGTAATTGACTCTGGGGTAGGGAGTTTTAGTGAACTTCTTTTAACAGACATTTTAAGATATTTTAATTATCCTTACAGTTGTCTTTTATTGGTTATTTTAAGCAATAAATATTTTAATCTCACCCACAGTTGTGTTATTTAACCTGTGTATCCTTGTATGGAGTCCTAAGGTTCCTTTAACCCGAGGTGCCGTTGACAGTGTCTTATTTTATTTTATTTTACATCTTTTGTGTTTATATTTTAGTTTTCAGTCTAAGCTATTGATTTTTTATTAGGCCGATCACATAAACATTGACTTTATTATGAAAAGATTCATCAACAACAGTTTTCATACATGATTAATCATTTAATTCATGCAAACATTTTGTTTCTAGCCTGTCCAGTGTGAGGATTTGCTGCTTTTCTCTGTTTTATATCATTGTAAACTGAATATCTCTGGATTATTCATGATATTAGGACATGTCACCTTGAGCTCTGGGAAGCTGAAACACTTTACAGCCTAAACAATGAATCAAAAACAGCCAGAAGTTTAATCAATAATGCAATCAATCTTTAGTTTCAGTCCTAAGAAGAACCAACACACTGTAGTGCATGTGCTGCCATTTAACATGTTTGGTTTAAATCCAGTTTATCAACTCACACGTCTAGTTCCCTGTTCCTCTGTGCTGCAAAAACACCCCAAAAATAATCTTTTCAGAATAATTCGAAGAACTCATATTGTCATATTTTAAGACCACACAACTGTGTTTGGTTTTTTTCTGATTTCTGCAATTAGGAAGGGACTAACCTCTGATCCCACTGCTGCCATTTATGATTTGTCTACCGACAAAACAGTGAGCCAGCATTTCATTTTACTCCAGTAATCCCCCAAAATAAAACAAAAGCCAAATTGTCCCCGTTCCCCAGTGAGGGTGGGGATTACCAAACCTCAACCGTCCAGAGGAGAAACCCAAAATACACAAAAAATCACTAAATCCACCCTCTTTACAAACACTGTCTGAAGTGAAGCTCACTCAAGTAAGGACACATAATGGGATGAACTGGATGAACTGGGGTTGACTGTACCTTCTGAGACGTAGGTGAAGGGTTTGTTCTTGACCGACAGCAGAGTCAACAGGTTGAAGAACAGAGCGACGAACGTCCCAACCAACAGGCGACCACTGCAAAGAGACAGACAGAAAATGGGACTGTCAGAATAAAACATATTTAATCATGAAACATCTAACATACTGTGACAATGACAATTAGCTGATTAGCATGTGGATCAAACCTAATTGATTCAGTCTGTATTTATGTGAACGTCCAGAAAACAGCACATCCTTTTATACCAAGGGGGAAGACAAAGCATTTGCTACCATGCTGTCTTTCTGCACTTAAAATAAACTTTACAATTCTAGAGTTAAACGAGTATATTTTTAACCTGGACCCTATTTTCCCATGTGTTTCTAAGTGACAAATGTGAACAACATTTTTTGAAATTGTACCAGTATTTAGCAAGAGCAGCAGCCAGGCTGCTATGTAAACACTCCAGGGATGTTCACACCATCAATTTACATCCACTTCAAGTGCTTGTTTTTGCCACTGACATGTTCAGATTGTTATTGCAAGTGTCTGAGAAGATATCGAAAGGAAGGTCTAACCTTTCAATAAGGATCCCCTTTTTGAAAGGACAGACCTTTCCCGAAATCGCATTCGTCAAACCCACCAGACCCCATTTAAATAAACACTAATTGTATCAACGTAAACCATACAACAGAAACAGAAACCTTCTTTTTTTGCCTTTCCACAATTTTAACAATCACCAACTCTGGTTTGTTTGACATGAACTCTTAATTCACCCAGTTAGACGTGAAAATATGCTGGCTCTATACCTACTAAAATTATTGTATATATGTGTGGTGGGCTTGGCAGTGCTGATTTCGGGGCTGTTTCTGGTTAGACAAAAAGGTTTTTAATACTTTATCCAAAGAGTTTTAGGATTCTTTAGCAACTGGTGAAAAAAAATGTGAGCCTCCAAGAAATCAAATTGCAAATCAGTCGCCACAGACACTGCTGTGTATGCCAGGTGACGGTGGTGCACAGAGCCTCAAAGAGCCCATGATGAGGTCGCCCAGATGTCAGATCTGTGCCGTGCATCAAAACAAATTCCCCAACATTATGAAAATAACATCCAAAACACAGGTTTTACTCTCAGTAGTTTTTGTGACATGAGAAACACTTTGATAAAAAGTCATGCAATGCCACTGTGCACAGATTTGTTGTTCATAATATAGCATTATCACAAAAAAATAACAGTGTGTCCCCCAGACTGGACGCATTAATAGTGAGTTAACCTTATCCTTTCAGATCTGAATGAGTCAGGGACGCAGGATGTATACAGAGCAACATCACTGGTGTGCATCAGGGATGCTAAAAGGTGCCCTGTGCATTGCTATGAGACGCCCAAGCCTGTTAACAAAGCGTCAGTATTTGATGACCTGGGAATGAGAACAGGTTGATAAAATAGTTTTAGGAGACAAAAAATTTGTCTTATTTGTCATTTTTATGTATCTTATCAACCGTACCTTTTAAATAAACGTAATATAATACAGATCTCTAAACCCTGCTCTCAGGCACAAAAGCAAACACACACAACTGTACTCTTCATTACACTAATCACATGGGACAATCCATTTAAGAGCCTAAAAATTGGTCCAAACAATCAGCGGGAGGCAAAGGGCTACCCGCCGGTGAGCCACAATAACTGGATGATAAACCCCCCCGACCCCCACCCCACCTCCCTCTAAGAACAGATTAAAGAGAGGGAGAATGTGTGTGTCTGTCTCTCCACCCGGCAGACACCTGTCCCTCCGGTTAGCGGCCGTCTCTCATGCCGTCCAATCACATCCACTCAGAGAAGAAGAGAGCGAGAACGGCGGAGAGGAGGAGGAGGGGTGAGGGGAGAGAAACGAGGGGGGTAATCTCGTCACAGGAGACAGGTTTAAGTCTCGCTGTGTTTTAGGTTATAAAAGCCGCCACTAATCTGTTTTATTATGGAGGGATGATGGAGACAGAGAGAGCCAGGAAGAAATGGAAGGAGGAAACAACAGAGGAGAAGACAAGAGCAGGTGATCCGCCAGACGAGAGGGGTAAAAGAACAAAAACAAAGAGAGACTGAGTCAAAGCTTAACTAACAAACTGTTTTTCTGACCACCTGACAAGTTAGTGGATTGACCAACAATCTAATAAATCCAACTCAGTATCAATTTATTAGACAAGTTCTCTGACTGAGCATACTGATAAAAATAAAAATGATACCAACACATTTAGGTTATTTGATACACAAACATCTTCATAAACTGATGTCTCCACCTGATGCTTTTCACCAGTGTTTTAATTCTACAAGTTAGTTTTTACACCTGAACACATTTTAACACCTATGAGTTTACAGGTCACACAAACAGGATGCAGTGTGTTTATTCTTGAAACTAGGTCTCCACTCAAGTCTTATTTATATATCCCAGTATCACCAATCACCTCTGCGTCAAGGGGCTTCGCAACCTGTACAGCAGACAACACCCTCTGTCCTTAGACCCTCAATCTGGACTAGAAAAAACCTCCCCCAAGAGCCAGACACACCATACCAACATCAAAGAACTAGTGATGGCGAAGGCCGACTGTTGCGTCATATCACTTCACCTATGTCTCGGCCAAAAACTTGCACTAATCACACCGCAAAGACTACAGCCAACAGCCAGCCAGCACGAACGTTCTGCACCTGTGTGAGAGGGAATAACTCTCCATACCAGCAGGTGGCAGTAGTCCGTATTCGCCACTCAAAAAAGGAAAACCTAAAGATTGACAGGACGGATTCAAAACACTAGTTAGCCAGTTAGCACATTAACAACACAACCCGATGTTGAAAGAGCAAATGATAAAATAAAAATCTAACATCATATGATGTTTGTTTTGATCTCACGCCCTCTTAACATCAGCCATTTGCTTGCTTTCCTCACTTCCGTTTCCCTTCTCATGCACTGAGCTGAACTGCCAATCAGAGGGATTTTTCTAACAAACTGGCTCTGCTATCACTGATACTGATTCAACATGCTGAATCTGCAAAAAACAAAAGCCATCAAAGGCCGACTGGTGCCAATGGTGCAGGACACACCGTCAAAACTGGGGCGACATATGCTCATCAACGGCCCAACACTTTCCAACAGCCAACCATCGCCTTAGTGTGTCAGGGCCCTAACAGGGAAAAATGGAAGTCTACTTGTACATTTTAACAAGATGTCTTTGAGGGGTGTCACACTATCAGATGCACAGAATATTGTGTGGGTTTGAGGAGTGTAAAATAAAAGAAACATAACAAAATAGATTTTGCTTTTCATTTTCTTCATTGTATAAGCTTTTTAAAAAATGTTGTTGCGTGGTCTCTGACAGAGCTGATGTCACCCTGAGGCGAGTGTTCAACACAGTCTGCATGTGTTTAATTAACTCTGCTTGTGTGGATGCATATACACTGTGTCAGAGTGTGAAACTAACAATGAACATGTCGCTGTCAGTCAGTCTGACTCTTTGACTTACCGAGTCTCTGACTATAATTCTGTCTGCCTGTCTGACCCAAATATTTGGGATGTTCTGTTCCGACAACAGCTGGCACTGTGTCTGTGTCTGTGTCTGTGTGTGTGTGTGTGTGTGTGTGTGTGTTTACAGAGGGAGACACACAGGAGTATATCATGTTGTGTCTGTTTATTGAGTGTGATAGGGGAGTTTGTGTGTTTTGTTGGTGTGTGTGTGTGTGGAGGAAAAATACTTACGTATGGACCTCAGGCTGCTCCATGAAGCGCTCCACACTGACAAAACAGAAAACAAACACAGTCAACAACACTGGCCAGGTGGGACTACGCTGACTCTGTGTGTGTGTGTGTGTGTGTTTGTGTGTGAGAGAGTGAGTGAGGTAGAGAGAGAGCGATTGAGACAATTGAAATGAATGAAAGGAGACAAGGGGTGAACAAACAGAGAGAGAAAACAGGAAATACATTAACACACACAAACACATGAACACACGCACTCCCGATGCCACACATACACATGCCAAAAAGCAAAATGGTGCACACACCAACACAGACACACACACGCACACACACATACACAGTCCTGTCTGTCTGCTCCCTGTGTGCTGCTGCCCTACTGTGCCATTCATGACATGCACTGTACTGCACCGGCTGGCAACAAATGTTCACTGTTACACTCCGTCTTCAGGGTCTCTGCAGGGTTCACAGACTAAAGTTAAGACTTTTAAAACCTTTTAATACCACATTGAATATAATTCAATACAATCTTAATTGTCATAGCAGCCAAAGCATGAAAAGCATGAATGAAAACCTGCAGAAATGATAAATAATTGACTACATTATTTAATTTATATTTGTTAGATGACATCACAATGGCAGTGTTCGATGTGTTTCTGTTGTGCCATATCTATTTTCTGCAGGCTTAAAAGACTAAGGTTTGAGACTAATGGTGCCCCATCATCCCAGGAACAATATAAAACGTTTAGGATGAACAGAGATCTTCCCGGGCACACCTTTGGGATGAAAGGACAGTGTAAATTCACTATCAAGGCATCAGGGGACTCACTCTATTATTTCCCTGTTAGTGCTACATTGTGAGCAACAAATCCATGTTGAAATCAGCAGAGGAGAGCTAGCTAACGTTAGCTGTTAGCAGCCGGATGCTGGGACTAACAGCTTACGGAGGCTGCACTGAGTTACATTATGATATGTTCAAGTACTGTTCAGTAAAAATGAGTATTAGGGGAAGGTTAATTTTAACTTTCTCATATTGTATCGTATTATCATGTTCCAGTGCAATCCTGTAAAATTTAGTTTTGGTGAGAAACTTGAATAAAAGAAGTTGTTTGAAGGAGAAATTTGTTGATGTTTGCACAGCAAAATCAAATAAACATCACAGAGGGAATTATGATATATCATATATGGTGAAAAGACTTTTAAAGCAGTTAAAACTTGATTTTGTGTAAAAGGTGATAATAAAGATGGTTTCGTATGTTTGTATGATTGAATTTGTGCTCATTCAAAGTTAGAATAATGGTGTGTTACCTACAGATATCTACTGGAAGTCTTGTTGGCAGCCTGTAAAAAGGCCATCACGAAGAGATGGTGTAAGGCAGAACCACCAACACAAGATGAATGGCTGAAAATTGTGAACAAAATATATGATATGGAACTGTTAACCCACAGGATGAGGACTCAAGAGGAGCCATGGGAGGAATGGACAATGTTTGCATGTCAATGACAAGATGAGAAACTGAGTAACTGAGCTTTTGAGAGACAGGGCAATCTGGACCCTTTTATTTATTTGTATACTTATTTCTGTTTGTGTGTATTCTGTTTTGTATTCCTTTTTCTCTACCTTTAACATTTGGTAAAAACAATAAGATGTAGTGTTATAAAATAGTATGAAGGGTTTCATTACTTTCAAACACTTCAATATTTTTTATAGTGTAGATTTCTTTGTTTCCCTGGCACATAAGGGGGAATAAATAACGACAAAAAATGAAATAAACAACATGGAAAGATTTTGGTTGGTAACTGCTATCGGCCAAAGTGTTATTTTAAACGTTGATATCTGCCCATATTTCACAATCAGTATATCCCTAATATATGTATTACATTATTGTTAGTGCTTTCAAGAAACACTTTACAATGACTCCTACACTGAAAACAAGAATCGTTAACAGCCACAGAAATAATGTTTTTAAAATCAAATTTACAAGTCAGATTAACATGACTGCTTTAAAAACTTTTTAAAAATTTTACATTGGCTAACAGTTCTCTTTTGTAAATGTTTTAATATAATTGATCCATAACTGAACAACAATGAAAGATGTCAACTCCATAGTCTCCACAGACCAAAGACACAAAGGTAAACTGTACCTAAATCCTCCTCCATGTTTAGAGCTGTTCTTTATCGTCAGTTTTAACCCGTGGTTAGGTCATTTTCACCTGCCAGTTAACTGCTAAGAGTGTCTGCACCATGAGCACTGTTGCTGTGGTTACCTACAGTTAAAACAATGGTTAAACTGTTGATCTGAACTGTTTGATGACGCGAATGGTGGCCTGACATCCAATTACACACAATTATATTCTTTTTTTGCCATTTTATAGAGTAACATAAATAGTAAGTTTCAGTAAAGTGCTAAATTTCAGATTAGCAGCCAAACATGAACACACGTTTGTCTGCACATGAACATGTTGCAGACAGCGTGCCAACTGCTTGACCTGCATTTGTGTGTGTGTGTGTGTGTGTGTGTGTGTGTGTGTGTGTGTGTGTGTGTGAGTGTGTGCGTGTGTGTGTTTTGTTTCCAGTTTACCCCTCCCTTCACTGAGAACTGACCGCAAGACAACCCCACACAGGGTGCCTGGAGGTGTGTGTGTGTGTGTGTGTGTGTGTGTGTGTGTCAAAATCGACACAGCCAGGCAGTGACATTCCCACAGCCCTGAAAAATTCAGTAGTTCACACACACAAACGCACACGCACACACTCCTCCCCTTTAAGAGTAAATCCGTGACCACCCCTTTAAAGCATTAATGTGTTTTCAGATGGTGAGACTCAACAGATTTTATCACACACACACATACACACACTACATCAAACCAGAAAGTGTGCAGTTATCGTGTGTGTTATGAAGCGAGATCTTAACGTCTTTGAACAGGAAGTTACTGTGTCTGAACAGGTTAAAATCTGCCGTCTGACAACTGTTAAAGTGTTTAAATGTTTGAAAACTGGGAGCACCCACTTTTACTGTTATCTTTTATATAATTTAATAAGTATAGCGTATCATATCACTGTTTTACTACTTTATCATTTGGGTACGATGACACTGTCCTCCAACACAGGGTTGTTTTTATTGCATTTTTTTAATGGTTTGATGACAAAGTGGAGCCGAGACTGGAGGAAAACATGCACCCTGAGAGGAGCAAAGCAGTCTGGAGACATTAATAATGAGAGGGGGGAAAACAAAGACAAAAGGGGGAAACAATTGGAAATATTTTGTGTATTGCTTTGGAAATATCAATTCTGTTGTTGCGCCGAGTCACGCTAAGGAAATAATTGAAATTTTAATAGAGGGAGACAGAGTGAGTGAGACAAAGAAAGAGATTGAGACAAAAACCAAAGATAGAGATGTGGGATCTTAATCTGGCTCTAAATACTGGTTTTAATCGCTCATTTTTTTTAAGGTCGGCATCACTCATTCAAGTGTGTACTGCACTGTGTGACTGAATGTGTTTGTATGTTTGTTTGTTAGACATACGCACCTCTCCTTCAGGATGAACAAGGCTCCCAGCTGGACGAGAACAGTGGAGGCAAAAACTGCCAAAACCTCCAGTCGATCAAACCTGTAGAGACAAGGAGACATTGTCATCCATACTGGGACAAACATCGGCAAACATTCCCCCACACACCAGTTCATTCACTCAAAGACCTCTTTCAGAGACCTCCTCGGTCCAAGATCACCAGGACACCAAGGCCCAATCCCAATGCACCCCTTGCCCCCCGCACTTTTGCACATTCACGTCAAGAGGTAGGCTGTCCTGACTCCTGCTGGGATAGAGGGGCAGGCCGAAGTGTAAGCACTGAATGGCCCTCCAAATGAAGGTTTTTTAGAGGCACACTTCAAACCGAGAGTATGTGAAATCATCGGCAAGATGGCTGCACGAGCAACAAAGGAATCCCACAACTGCATTTTCCTCATCAATAAAGGTAAAACTATCATTACCTTAAGTTACGATATATTCCTGAACTACTATTGTCAAGAATGAACCTTCAAGCTAAAATCTATGGTAAATAAATGAATTAAGAGGAGGTACTGTGACTGCATCAAATTTAGTTTAACCAGTAATCAAAGTTCAGCTAAAATTTGCAGAGAAAAATTACACAGAATACATTTACCCTCTCATTATTCAATATTTCTAAAAAAATATCTTGTTCATAAATCAGCATTTATTTATATAATTTAGAAACTTATATGAGACTTAACAGAAGTAGAAAACACCAACACACTGCCAGTGTGTGGGGCCGATACAGTTGTAACTGTTGCCGACCTCCTGACCTCATCATGAGGTCACAGGGTCGATCCTGTCACAGTCTGTCCAGGATGAGCAGCTTTGTCTCAGTGAGTGGTCCGCGGGGCTTAAAGGGGCTAAACCTGACGCTGACTGTCAGTGATCTGATGGTCTGCCTCTCTTCAGCAGCATAATGCCACTAAAGTAAGAGCTTCGGTCCGAGCCACGTAAAGTGCATTATGGATTCATGCAAAAGAGATGTGACAACGTACATGCAGAGGGCGAAGAAGGTGAGGACTGACGGTATAAAAATTTCTAAAAAAGGCTGCAATTTGAGTTTCCGGCATTTTCTAGGTTTAAGTTAAGTTTATTAACCATTTTGCTCCATTTGATTTTGACACCTAAAATAGTTCCCCTTTAAAGCTGGGCCTGCAAACACATTTGCATTGAATGAGAAGGTGTAACAGTAGATCCACTAATTGAGTTCAGTAGAGTTGGGTCAATTTACTGTTTTGCCAGAGCTTAAACCAAATTAATTTTATGCAAACCAGCTGGACCAGCATTTGATATTATGACACGGCAAATTAAAAAGTAGCCTACATCAGCAGCCTGTACTGATGGTGTCACAGTGCTAAATTCAACTCATATTACACTAGTAATGAGCAATATGACCATGTGATTAATTTAAGGTTAAGTGTATATATGGAGTAATGTAGTCACAAGTGTCTGTCAGGCTTTGTGCAATTTACTGCCGAGCTCAGGCCGTTGTCGGCAACATAAAGGAGATTAAATTACAGTAGAGGTGGGAGGGGGCAGAATGGCACATGCTGTTTGTTTACTCAAGTTTGACGTTTTTAGGGTTAGGAGAGAAGAAATGGCAAAGTTAGTCTTTCAAGAAAGCTAAAACTGCACCAATATAGCGACATTTTGGATTTGAAGCCCGTGAAAGAGGTGTCCTGACTGGCTGCAAGTGCTGTTTGAGGCTAAACTTTCATCGGATGCCCTGTTATTATATATTCTTTTTGCTCGATTTGAAAGCACCCCAATGGACAAGAAAAGGCTGTTTCATGAAGCATACATGGAATTATCTACACAATACTATTTATTTCACAACAAAAACCTAAATAAGTCACAGCTGCTTGGAGGGAGATCGCCAGAGAGCTGAAAGTTTCTGGTAATCTAAATGACCATCGCTAATAACAATCTAGGGTACTTGCTGTTGACTATATTGCATGTTTTCCTTCATACAACTTAAATGTTACGTTGCTGTTTACAAAAATAAAATGCTTCCCTCATAAGAAACTAGGCTGTTCCAAATGTTCAATTCTGACTAGTTTCTCTGCTTAAGTTTTTAATGTTTTGTCATTTATATGGCACCCCCAATCTGTAAATAGAAATACAGTAAATGCACTGAATCAAGCTTTTTCTTATTTTTTTTCACGTTGAGTCATTTTTGTCACCCCAGTCAAAAACTGCAACTAAAACATTTTGTTCAATATTGATTTACAGTATCTGCTCATTGTTTTCTTAAATAATCACATCACCGTTGTGTCTGAAATTTGAGAGAACAGCCATCACAATTTCCAAAAACCTAAATCTTCAAGCTGCTACTTTTTACCAACTGTCTCCAAAATCCAAAGATGTTTTATTAACAACGATATGAAACAGAGATAAAGCAGAGTACTCACATTTACGAAGCTGTACCAGCAAATGTTTTGCAAATGTTAAGTCCCTTAACTCTTAACCCCCATTCCGTAGGTTCCTGCCTTTAATGCATTCTGCATGTTGACACATTAAAATACCAAATAATTAAATAACAATAAACACAACAATGCATGACTAATTCAGCATTACACTTGTGACGTGCCAGTCACAGGTCGAAACACAACAAACATAAATAATGCTTCTATATTTAGGAAAAACTAAGTGTAAGACTGAGAGTGACCATTTGTTCAACCAATGAGCATATGAACAGACACCTACAGGTTAATAGGTTCACACACACACACACACACACACACACACACACACACACACACACACACACACACACACACCATACATACTCCCTCTTCCTTCGAACACTGTGTTAGGCCTGATTGCCTCCATGCTGTTGGGTCAAAGGTCATGCTCTGCCCTGCCACCAGCCTGTGTTTAATCTATAAGGGCGCCATGTAGAAAACCAGCCGTCTGCTGGGCACTGACGCTACGTTTACATCACAAGGGAAAGTGGCCAAAATCTTTTTTTTGTCTTTGTTCCAATGTGACATAGATCCTTTGTTTTCCAATCAGATCTGGGTCTCCATATGTGGTCATAAATTCGATATACAGTACAGGCCAAAAGTTTGGACACACCTTCTCATTCAATGCGTTTTCTTTATTTTCATGACTATTTACATTGTAGATTCTCACTGAAGGCATCAAAACTATGAATGAACACATGTGGAGTTATGTACTTAACAAAAAAAGGTGAAATAACTGAAAACATGTTTTATATTCTACTTTCTTCAAAATAGCCACCCTTTGCTCTGATTACTGCTTTGCACACTCTTAGCATTCCCTCGATGAGCTTCAAGAGGTAGTCACCTGAAATGGTTTTCCAACAGTCTTGAAGGAGTTCCCAGAGGTGTATAGCACTTGTTGGCCCCTTTGCCTTCACTCTGCGGTCCAGCTCACCCCAAACCATCTCGATTGGGTTCAACAGCCGACAGCCCTATTGGACAACTGTTAAAATTCATATTATGGCAAGAACCAATCAGCTAACTAAAGAAAAACGAGTGGCCATCATTACTTTAAGAAATGAAGGTCAGTCAGTCCGGAAAATTGCAAAAACTTTAAATGTGTCCCCAAGTGGAGTCGCAAAAACCATCAAGCGCTACAACGAAACTGGCACACATGAGGACCGACCCAGGAAAGGAAGACCAAGAGTCACCTCTGCTTCTGAGGATAAGTTCATCCGAGTCACCAGCCTCAGAAATCGCAAGTTAACAGCAGCTCAGATCAGAGACCAGATGAATGCCACACAGAGTTCTAGCAGCAGACCCATCTCTAGAACAACTGTTAAGAGGAGACTGCGCCAATCAGGCCTTCATGGTCAAATAGCTGCTAGGAAACCACTGCTAAGGAGAGGCAACAAGCAGAAGAGATTTGTTTGGGCCAAGAAACACAAGGAATGGACATTAGACCAGTGGAAATCTGTGCTTTGGTCTGATGAGTCCAAATTTGAGATCTTTGGTTCCAACCGCCGTGTCTTTGTGAGACGCAGAAAAGGTGAACGGATGGATTCCACATGCCTGGTTCCCACTGTGAAGCATGGAGGAGGAGGTGTGATGGTGTGGGGGTGTTTTGCTGGTGACACTGTTGGGGATTTATTCAAAATTGAAGGCACACTGAACCAGCATGGCTACCACAGCATCCTGCAGCGACATGCCATCCCATCCGGTTTGCGTTTAGTTGGACGATCATTTATTTTTCAACAGGACAATGACCCCAAACACACCTCCAGGCTGTGTAAGGGCTATTTGACCAAGAAGGAGAGTGATGGAGTGCTGCGGCAGATGACCTGGCCTCCACAGTCACCGGACCTGAACCCAATCGAGATGGTTTGGGGTGAGCTGGACCGCAGAGTGAAGGCAAAGGGGCCAACAAGTGCTAAACACCTCTGGGAACTCCTTCAAGACTGTTGGAAAACCATTTCAGGTGACTACCTCTTGAAGCTCATGGAGAGAATGCCAAGAGTGTGCAAAGCAGTAATCAGAGCAAAGGGTGGCTATTTTGAAGAAACTAGAATATAAAACATGTTTTCAGTTATTTCACCTTTTTTTGTTAAGTACATAACTCCACATGTGTTCATTCATAGTTTTGATGCCTTCAGTGAGAATCTACAATGTAAATAGTCATGAAAATAAAGAAAACGCATTGAATGAGAAGGTGTGTCCAAACTTTTGGCCTGTACTGTATATCCGATCACTGGCCATGCGACCGCCACCAAAAGAACAGTCATGTCGAAATCGGTGCTTATTATTCCCATACATCCATGGTCGGTCAACGTCATACTTCACTTCACTTCACAGGCACAAATCACTCACCATACAGTTTCACATTGGTCCATTAAAATTACAGAGGGCTGCCGTAGCCTTATCACTGCCCCAATCGCCAGCCAATAGAGTCCAACTGTCATTGACACTTTCTGACGGGGACAGTTCACCTACATACTGTGACAGTGTTGTCATGAGGCGCTGAAAGAGCTACTGAAATGTAGCCCTGGACATCCTGAAGTTTGAAGCATCTGTTCCTCCATGAAACCCTCCACATCGTAGCCCACCATTCCTGACTCTGCTGTCCGCACCCACACCTCTTGCTCCACATTACTACCAGTAATCCATTATCCCAAAAACAAACACTCATTGCTCCGAAAAGACACTTTACACTCTCTCAAACAGAAGCACATGGCTAAATATTATGCTGAATGACATCATCAGACCTTCTTCTATGGTGTAAATTCGGGAGATGAAGCTTGCATCGCTATGGCATTCATTTTTTTCCAAATGCCTGTCACACAACTTTGATGTTTTTTGTTGTTTTCCTTGTGTGTGACATTATTGGTCGCATGTGAGGCGTTACAGGGCAGAGATCTGTTCACACTAGTGTCAGATATGGGTCACTTTGAAATGTGAACAGTCGGCAGAAAGAAATAATCTCAATTGAGCCCTGTAATGTGAACACAGTGATCATCCTTAATGACGTGATCAGGATCCCCTATTGATATTGTTTTATCACTCTTAAAGCCTTGCACCTGTGGGAACTACAAAACAGCTAAAGAGTTGGGGTGACGTGGATCAGACTAACTCCTGGAAGGCCTGGCTCTGCAGGGTTTACAGGAGTCTGCTGCTGGTTAAACTGGGCAATCTGCTGCTGAGCCATTGTTCAGTTACTGGCAATCCATTTACACACACACACACACACACACACACACACACACACACAAGCCTACAATACGCTCAAATGAACACACAGGCATACACAGATGTAAACTCAAGCACAAGACGACACACACACACACACACACACACACACACACACACAGAGGTATTATGGGAGCCAAGCGAAGCTGAAAAGCAGATTTCCACTCGATCACCACTCTTCCACACCTCACGGTCAGAGGTCACCTGTCAGCTGCAAATACACTCTTTGGCCAGTTCACTCACTTGCGCGCGCACACACACACACACACACACACACACGGGCACACACACAGGCACACACACAGGCACACATACACACATCAAACAAGATGCGTGTTCGTGAGCCGTTTGACTGATCCAGAACAGTAACTGAAGCTTTTCTGTTGATGCTCCATCTGTGTTTACAGTGTGTGTGTGTGTGTGTGTGTGTGTGTGTGTGTGTGTGTGCGGTTATTCGACAACAGTGAATGGGAGCACGTAAACAAACAAACACAGATGGAGCTTTGATTGAAAAGCTTCCGATACAGATACATACATCAGTACAGAATGTATTATACACTCACTATTTAAACAAAGGGTCACAATAATCCCACCTCCATAACTTAAAAACCACAAGATTGTACCTTTTTAAATTTTATTCGTAAAGACACATACTAACACTACACAGTTTTGTTCATCAGCTTGTCTTGACAACAGAGAAAGAGGCCAATAGTTTCAATAATAATCAAAGGAGAAACTTAAGTACAGCTAAAGTATCTTTGTCAGAGACCATCAGTCATTTCCTCTAGATCTGGGTAGAAAAAGGATCAAATGCATTTATCGTTTGATTGGAGAGGTTTCAATACTACTTGGTACTGGATTATTTCATTCGATACCTTCAAGGTATCAAGTACAGATACGCACCCTAACTGTGTCGATCAGGTTATTATGGTGAACTCACCCAAATGAGTAGACCTGACTTGGTTTCTTCATGGTCACCCAGGAACTGATGAGACAGGTGATCAGACTGCACAGGGAGGAGAAGGAGAAGGAAAGGTGAGAGCAGGTACAGAGAATTATAGTTAAAAGACACAGAGGGTAGACAGAGAACAGAAGCGGCAATGAAATCAGAGAAAACAGAGGTCAGCTAAAGTTCACTTCCTTAATTTATCTTTTATTCATTATAATCTCAGAATTAAATTTTCATGAGCAGAAATTCTCCATCAAAACAGCCCCACAGGACAGCTGAGCAGACCAAGTGTTATATCATCGTGTTTCTGTATATTTCACACTTAAAATTAACTACACACATGTAACAACTAATTTCATTATTGATTAAACTGCCAAACAGACGATTAATCAATAGTTTGGTCTATAAAAATATTAGAAAATAAAGATATAGAAATAAATAATAAATCATTTGCCAAAGCCTCATATGAGGCCTTTAAATGCTCTTGATCAAAATAAAACAAGACATAAAACATAAATTTCAAATAATTCTATTTACTATTATTATTATATTATTACAACATAAAATAAAATAATGCAGGAAATTTTCACATTTAAAAGCATTTTTGATCAATTACTAAATTCTGTTTTTTAATCTCTGTGTTCAAGAAATTGATATGTACAAACTGGAACCAAAGCTGATGAGAGAGAACACACTAATGTCACAGATGACGCAGAACACACTCACCTGAACAGGTCGAAGATGGTGAGGTATGTGTAGGCAGTTAAGGCTGGAATGACAAAACAGATAAACAAAAATCATCACAATCAAATACAAGGCGATTTAAAACATTGTGAGTTAGATATTCGATCAGTAAATTCATAATTTTAAAGGTGTAACATGACTTCAATCAACATCATTTAAAAGGACATTATTTTATCTGCAGATTCTCGACTAAATAATTTGATCTTTTATGATAATATTATATGAGATACGCAATGTAGCTGTATGGTGTAATACGGCTGGGCAGTTAATCAATCTTTATATTTTTAATTAAGAGTTTGGCTTCCAACGACTATGAAAACAAAATAATTGAGAACTATCATTATGCCACAGTCTGTTTCACAATGATGCTCTCGTTTTGTCTTATGTTATAAATCCAGCACACCCTGTTACTTTACAGCGGAGCGCTCAGGGTCGCCAAACTGGCTGCTTTCTTGGTAGATTCAAGCTGTGTTCCCACCAAAAGATCACGGGACAGTTAGTCCCAGGAACCACTTTTCGAGAAACCAAAAGGTTCCTTCAGTCCACTGGTATCTACGTTTCAACTTTCGAAGACGCTCTTGGTGACTTCATTTCTAAAAAGCTAGTAGTGACCAATTTAACGTCTTTTTTAGACCATCAGATAAAAAGGAAGAAATGTGTTCATATTTGTTTTATTGTAAATCATTCCAGTGCATACTGCTCAGAGTAATCAGTCCACAGCTCTTCTATTAACAAGGTCTCCTCTTTTTTTAGTTGAATTGTATTTAAAGTTCAAGAAAATATACAGTTAAAAGACATTTTTTTAAGTTCAATAAATGTATGTTTTCAAAGTTAGAGACTCATCACATTAAATAACCTTGATCTCAATATTGACCAAAATAATCAGGATTATGAATCTTAAGTAATCGAGCAGGCCCATAGTGTAGTATAGTGTGTGTGTGTGTAGCAACATGTATACCACAGATTTCAGAATAACTCGGTCACATCTGAGGAGAAAGACCATCTTTTATAACTGCAGAACCTGCCTGAGAATCATCATGATTTTTCAGTATCAAAGTAATCCAGCTGTAGCTGTTGGTACATCCATTGGTACACTGCAAACAGGGGCTTTATTGGTAACTATTTGCCAAAATCTCAACAAATACAGGCTAGTAAAAAAGCTCAAGGAGGCGATGATGGTATGGTGCAGTTTACTCGATTTTTATCTGAGGGAGGGACCACAGTTTCAGGCTTTGAAACCCCCTCTTGTAAACCATGTGGGTCTTTTATTCTCTTTCAGTCTGAGTTACTGTAGTCTAACTGTAAACCTTCTGCAGCCTGCGTTGGCGATACTGCACATAAAGTTAATCTGAATTCAAAAGTAGTAGACACAATCTGAGCATGTCAGGTTAGACAGCCAGCAGTTATTTCACTACATAGCTGGCCAACAAGCTCGTGTGCTAGCCATTGAACAGGTCATTAAGTTAGCGAGTCATTAAGTCAAGCCGGCAGATAGTCAGCCAGGCTTTCACTGAGTCCATCACCTGGACAGAAACCTGGCCAGCAGCCAATCAGCCACCAGGTAAGCTGAAGGGTCAGTTAGCTAAATCAGTGGGCTAATTAGTCAGTCAGCCAGCAAGCCAATAAACTAATAAGTCAGTTAACCAGCCAGCTACAGAGAGATTCAGTGTCGTTCTGTCTGTCTGTCTGTCTGTCTGTCTGTCTGCCCGTCTGCCTGTCTGTCTTAATGCCTGCCAACCAGCTTTCTGTAATCAGGTTCTGCTGTGGGGGATGAGGAGAGCGGATTAGAGCGGCTTTGTGCTGAGAGGAACATTTTGTTTCCCCACCACCGGCGTCCATGTTGGCCAACCTGACGCCATGTAATCCTGACAGAGAGGCCTCGCGGCAAAGACCCGGAGAGACAGACGAGCAGAGGGGGAGAGACAGACAGGAGGCAGGACTGACGCTGAGAGACACATCGACAGGCAGAGGGACGGACTGAGGGATGGAGGCAGATAGACGGGCAGAGAGAGAGAGTTTAGAAGACAGATAGACAGGGTGATGGACATGTACACAGACAGGCAGACACAGAGAAAGTGGATGAGTGAGAGACAATCCTTAACACACAAGAGTTACAGATAGTGCGGAGGAAAATATCTAAGACGGCCTGAAACTCCACACAAACACCAGACATTAAAGACCTCAGACTCTTGGTTATTTGACCACGGTTAGATATAACTATATATGTATAAGAAAATACAAATATGGATGTTGTGTTTTGAGAAAGTTGTCACATCATTTTCTAAAGTAAAATAAGTCACATTGTGGAAGTACCAGTGAGCAGTAAATTTAGATTTTGGACAGTTTAATGAATCATCATCACTTTACCCCATCACAGACATGCATAAAGTTGCATGTATCAAAAGGAGAATAACTGCATTGAAGGATTTTCAGGAAAAAGTTGGATCGATTCTATTGTTTAAATATAGGATAAATGTCTTATGTATCATCAGGAAGGGATTTTGACACAGCCTTTTACTTGAGTAAAAGTATACGCAGTATTGGCATTAGCCTTGAAAAAATTGGATGGATCATAATGAAATGTGGATGAGTTGTAATAACTTTGGTGATGCGCTGACTTTTCCTCTGGTGCCATCATCAGGTCAACATTTTAATGTGTCCAACATACTTTGGTTTCTGATCAAATATATGTCTGTAAAACTAAAGCCTCAGCTGTACTTTGTGTTTAATGCTAATTAGGAAATATTAGCATGCTAACAAGTAGGTGTGTAACCATCCATCAGTCTTGATCGATGTAGCGATTCAGTGATCAACAATCAAATATCAATGATGCAAAGTGAAAACACTGATCCATAGCATCATCTTTAGGATACGCTTTTATTTTGAAATTAAGTGTCACTGTCAAACTGCGGCAGGCAGAGGGCGAGCAGACAAAAAAGAAAAACAAAAAGAAAAAAAAAAACAGATAAAAGTATTTACTTTGGTATAAATCAGTGATTGTGGAGGAAATACAGGTCAACATGCAAGGCACATGTCAGTGGCACCATTTTGAGATAATATATAGGAAACTGAGTCTGGCCGGGCATCTCACTCAGCTAACTTCTCACTACAGCAACATTAGCTGCTCTATTTTAACGATGTTGGGCTGAAATTCAGCGGTGATGTTCTGTCGGGAGATGCAGTGACTTAAACCAACACTGAGTATGAAAAAGAATAAATAATATGTAGAATTTGTTAAACCATGAGTTAAAAAATGTCCACTAGCTGTAAGGCTAATTTATGCAATGTAGAAATTTTTGAGCTAATAATGGGTGACAACAAAAGCAAGTGTTTTGTCTATGAACCTTGACAGTTACTGCTGAGCTGAAATTTACCGATTTGTTAAATGGTCTTATTGTTAATCCATGTTTTATCGCTGTTGCAAGAAGCTTGCTTTCAGAGCTTTAAACCAGAAAGCCCTTAAGTTTCAGGGAAAAAATTAAAATGAAATTTTTTCTTCCAGAAAGGACTTTCTGGCAGAACTAACTTCATGTGCGGAGTCAGTTTAAAATAAACTTAACTGCACTTATGTCTTTACAAATGCAAAAAAGAAAGAGGTGACAGCTTTTTCTACGACTGTCCTAAATGGGCACGCGATATCGACTCATTTCAATTGCAGAATGCTTAAATGAACCAAATTTATATCATGGCAGACTTTGAGATATCAACAAATACCATACTGTTGTCTAAAGTATCAACATAATATTGTATTGTGATGAAACTGGAGCTTTACACCATTGATAACAGGCTAAATTAAGCACAGTCTGACAGAGCTGTGGTCTCTTAATCTTGTTTAAAAATATTTCTCGCTGAGTATAATATTTAAATCAGTCTGAAGAGCAGCATTTAGATACATGCAGTGGAGAACAATATCCTTAACAACCCTCTGAGTTGCAGTAGAGGAAAAAGTGTAGAGTAACTTTAGTGAACTTTCTATCGTATAATTATCAGTTTCACTGTTTAATCCCTAAAAATCTGTATACTGTGCAAAGCCCTTTTTGCTGTATAATATGCTGTTGTTATTTTGATATGCAGCAGCTCGTCTACCCGCAGGGATCAATGAGGTTTGATGTCATCTTGTTGTGTTGAGTTAAAAGCAGCAGACAATAAAAGCAATAATAATACAAACGCTGACATCACAGTGACCCTGGAACAGGCTGGACCAGATCAATACCTGGGCTGAAATTTCTCCATCGCTGTGCTCAGATAGGTTTACATATACACCACAACACACACATAAACCCACACAGAACCCGGTTCAATTCCTTTCTAAGTCTCCTGCTTACAAACACTGACACCCAGAGGACGTGTGGATGTGATACCAGAGCAACAAACAGAGCAGACGGGACATTATTCTTATCTACCGCACACACACTCACACACACATCAGTATGATCAGAGAATATGATGTACAGAACAGAGAAACACAAGTTTACACAAACTAAAGACACACATGTACACATCTCAACCCATGTACAGACATAAAGACACACACAGCTGCCCCACAGGAGCTGAACTCAATACCCAGAGCAGAATGACGAATTTAAATCCCTGTTTGATTTCAGAGATGATCGATAGAGGAGAGGAAGTTACTCAAACCTCTTTTTTTTTTTTAACAATTTGCAATTTCTTTAGCTTCATTTTATATTATTCTATGTGATTTTCTTTGCCTTTCACTACATTTCTTCCACTTTTGATGTCCTTTGAAACTGCAAATAATAAGAGGAAAGATGGAGAGCGACCAGAAGGAAGGAAGGATTTAAACAAGGAAGGAGGTGAAAGGGGAAGGGAAGGAAGGAAGCGAGGGGTGGATAGACAGATGAGAGAGGAGAAATACGAGCAGTAGGATGAATATTTAATGCTGTCTGCAGAGGAGCAGCCAAAACACACACACACACACACACACACAGTGCTCTAAGTAAAAGCACATTCACAGTAAACATACACCCATGAGATACAAGTATGTATTAGCTATTCATAATGTGA